CACAGTTGGGCTTCTTCAATCTAAGGCGCGGTCCCCTAAAATAGATCTGTTGGTCCTTCATATGACAAGAGCATCAAAATATTCCCAAGAGTCCCGAGATGAAACCCTGATGGTTATTCCCATTCGGCTCTGTGGGAAGATAAGTGTCTGTCTCATTTCTCTTCATTCATGAATGTCTCAATTTCAACGACCATGACGGAAAGGGTTGTTGTAAAAGTAACCACCGTCCCAAGTAATACACCAACAAAGTCTGACGAGCACGTCCTAAGAATCAGCAGCTGGTTCATTGATAGAAACAGGAGGAAGTCTCGTTCTCGTCTTTAAGTTCGTTTCTGTGCTGACAGCAGGAGTCGCAGGTTTGGATCATGAGGGGTTTCATGCTGGCTGGTTTTCTGACTGACAGGGTGTAATAAACCGTAACAATAATGTCTGCTCTGGGATTCTAACAGGATATTGCTTAAACGCTAATCCCGAAGCCGTAGACAGCACATTACCTTGTCTTTGGATATTATTGAGTCGATGAGGTCGCAGGCGAAGGAGAAGCATAAACTTTCTCATTTGAAAATGTAGAAAAAAAACCCAACAACCATCTGCATTTTCTGGTCAGGTAAACTTATTTAACATTCACACTTCACGGTATTATACATGACCCTTTGCTAAGCCCCGCCCCTCAAACACAGACTTTATTAATGTATTTCATCAGACAAAACATGCAGATTTCATCTATATAATTTATGTCAACTATTTGTCCATCATTTTCTAATCAATTTTTTTAGACTTCAAAACTATGCAAATGTAATTCGTAGGGTTTGATAATAAAACCTGCCACCAGCCAAATTCCAAGTCTTGCTCTGGGTTTCCATTTGACTTGTTTTATAAAAATGAGCGCATATTAAAAATGATGAACCTTTTTCATCCGTTGGCCTGTGAAGAAAAAAAGTAACTTTTTCTGCCAAGGACAGAAATGTTTGCCACAGATTTTGCATCAACTAGCATTGTTCCTTTTCAGCATACAGTCACTATACTTTATACTACATTTGAACATTTAGCCCCATGTGTCTCATAATTGGTTAAAGCTTCCATCTTGGTTCTTCGCCTTCATTGTTTTGTTTAGTGCTTCATTCGGTGCACTTCTCCCGCTCGGTTGCGTTTGAATCCCTGAGTCACCTTCTCATAAGTCAGGGAGGCATTTGGGGGAAAGTGAAACATTTTCCTGGGACTTGTACCCACGGATCGTGTACTGTTCCTCCATATATTCCTGAGGCTGAATGAAGGCTGATATTTTCACAGCAGCTTATTACATACCGGTGGGAGTTTGAAATGCTCCTCTGGATCTTTTGGGGTTCTCTACGGGATCGGATCACATGCTACAGGGCTCAGCCCTCCTGGGAGCCGGCTGGTGGGAATACTGACTATTGAGGGATGAACTTAAAGTATTATTTTGTCACCGTCATGAATTAAATATTTGGTTTTAGCTTGATTGCAAATGTTCATTACCCAGTGCACATTCCAGATACAAATTACCGCTGGCTACATGGAAGTTTAATTTGGTTCATCCAGCTAATTGTTGTGCGATTGATTACGTGATCACGTGTTTTTTTTGCTCCCTGGCTGTTAAAGTTGTGTAGTTCTGTTGCGGTGCGTTTCACAGCTGTCGATCGGTGGAGAATTATGTTGTTATAGCTGTGGGACTTGCAAGGTACACGGCCCCCGTGTTGTACTCTCCCTGCTACCATATATATTCTCGTATTTGTTCTGCCCCTCTAAGGTTGCGCAGTGCAGAGAGATGCTCTAGTTTCTCTCTGTAGCCTTGAAGTCAGCAAACAGTGAACGGTTTGCAAATACGTGCTCAGTCTGAAGAAGACGACGGATCAGAGGCATCAATTTTCAGCTGTCTCCCATTATTAAATGCATGAAATACGAGACCGTTTTCAACACACTGATAGTCAGACTGCTTTATTATGTTATAATAACAATAATGAAAAAATATGTATCACTTATTATATGTTATGTTTCAGAATGGCATCGGGTGACGTATTCAAGTTCTCACATAAGGAGAAGTATAACAACTTGACGTTGTTAACAGCAAACAACCCCCATCATACGAATTTACCCACAGGGAGCAATAAAGTGCTCCTGATCCTAAACTGCAGCAAAGCCCCCGAGTCCTCTAGATGACGTCTGGACGTCTGCTCTCGTCGGTGTCAAGTCGTTCCTTCATATAACGTGTGTGTGGGTCGTTTGGGGTTCAGACCAAAGGGCCCGCCGGCGAAGCGGGGGAGCTGTGGGAGCCGGTTCGATGGAGGAAACTGTGATCTGCAGCTCGCTGAAGAACACAGTTCCTGACAAACGGTCGAGCAGAACCTCAAAGGGTCGAATGCTCAAACTGATGTTTTATCTTGAGAAGGTTAAACGCCCAACGCCATATTCGCAATACTTCTCAAATGAATCTTGCTGTTTGCTCATTCTCAAGCTGCCCCTTCGCATGCCGGCGCACTGTGCATCACTACACAAACACAGAAACCATGTCAGCGAGGAGGAGGGACCTGCAACAACACAAATGTCTCACGTGGAGACGTTTTCCTCATTTGTGAGCGAGTGCTTTTATGAGTGAGGGATTATTAAATGCCATCTGTATCTATTCTCCCTCCCCATTGGGGGTGTGTGTGTGTGTGTGTGTGTGTGTGTGTGAGCTGGGAGGGTTCACCCTGACAGAGGGAGGCAAATGGTGACAAACAGCCCAGACGATGATGAAGTGGATTTTAGGATGGATTGTCTCTCTGAGGCATGATGGGCAAATATTCATACACTGTGTGTGTGTGTGTGTGTGTGTGTGTGTGTGTGTGTGTGTGTGTGTGTGTGCGCCTGGAGCTGGTACGTTGGGGGCATGAAAGAACACACGCTGTCTATAGTACTGTTTGCTAATTGCACTCGCGTTACCGAGCCACTGTAGCCATGGCAACACATGTTGGTCGCTATAAAAGGGGCTGCGGAACGATTCTTCAGACGAGGCGCCGAGCGACCATTTCAGCTCCTCACCTCGCGTCCTGTGTTCGTTTGTGTCTTCTGCAGACTGATGTTTAAAAATGGCAGTTTTTAATAACAGTTCTTTGTGTCCTCTGAAACTTTATCCACTCTTTGTGTGCGTTTCAGGCTTTCTGTTCGTGTGCAGTGTGAGTCACTGCTGCCTTTCCCATTAATTGCACGCATCTCATTGGCTGGGCACTTTTGTCACTTGGTTAACGCTTAACATTCCCTATGCGGCTCCACCACATGGCTGACCAGCTATGATGCTTTCACGATTAACGGGTAGGTTCCTGAAGAAGTTCTTTTCTCACAGATCACGAGCGAAATATGCCGAAATCCTCTTTTAACTCTCTGAGGTCAGAAGGAAGCTTCAGATGAGCTGGTTGAGATTTACGGTAATGCCTTGCTCAAGGACACTTCTGCCCATCGCCTCATCTAGGCTTCCTATCCATTTGTCTCTTTGGTTACTCACTCTGTGTGTGTGTGTGTGTGTGTGTGTGTGTCTTGTCCACATTAACAGACTCATCCAGCTCCTTCACCGGTTTAAAGTGATGATCCCATTGGCTTAAGTGTTTTGCATTTTCGCTCCGTCCGCCTGTATCGATCCCTCCTGCTCAGGGTGAACATCCTCAATTAGCAGATGCCGTAAATCACAGCACCTCGTGAGGCAATTCATTTGAGAGAGAATGCCTTCGCTCGGTCTATGAGGGAATATACATAAGGGGACTAATGTGAGTTATCATCAGCTGCTTATAGAGGAAATCGGTTTGCATGGTTTCCCAGAGTCACGTGAGCAGTTTATGGGAAGAATAGGAAGCAACATCAGGCAGGAGGACAGTGGGTAAGGAAGCACATGTCTACTAATGGTGCTTTGCAACAACCACCAAAAGTATGCAAAAACAATTGTTACATTTATCCTCATCTGCATTAATGAGCCGGTGTTCACATGTTAAGACAACAACAATGATGCATGTGCATATATATATATTTGTATTTACGTCCCGCTGTGGATGAAAAAGCTCATGAGCTGGATTCCAATGTGTCCTCTCACCCAGCTGTCCTCCAAAGGCCCGATAAAGTCGATCCCCGGTGCCGTCAGAGAGGAGATACGAGCATCAGACCGTGTAAAGACCGGCGAGCGGCGCGCTGGGACGGTCGGGGCCGCTGTGCTTCAGAGCAAAGACAATGTTTGATGGAGGCGCCGCCAGTGGAAACCTGAGAGAGATTTAGCGCTAATGAGCTGTGACTCGGTCGGGGAGAGAGAGAGAGCCGACTGTCAATGACGATCTGTTGTTTCTGCCTCTCGCTGCTTCTCTCAGACTCACACATCAATTCCCTCCTTCTGTTCGCCCCTCTCTTTTGCTTTTGCTTTTGCTCTGTGTTTTTATTAAAACCGTTGCCTGAACACATTTAAATCAGACAGCTGGAGCTGCAGATACCTCAGTTGGTCCGGGGTGAATTCGAGGTAGCAGGATTATAGATTTAAGCTCTGAAAGGCAACACAGTGTAGGAAGCTTCATGACCTGAGTCCCTTTTCACCTGTAAATATGACCAACCATTGATGGGAACCAGCATAAAGGTTCAGAATGCTTTTTTTATTGGTGCATGACGGAGGGAAACCTTGTTTGGGGACAATGTGTGTGTGTGTGTGTGTCAGGAACATGGAGACAAAATGTAATGAAATAAATGACTGCCGTAAATAAAGGAAGCTGAGTCAGTGAGCAATAAAAGAAGTAGCTGAGTAATCATGGCGGCACTTTCTTGTTCTCCACACAGCTTTAATGACCCACCATGACCCATTTAAGACGAAGCCGGCTGCCAGGTTCACATTTAAATTCTTCTTCGTTGTGTCGCAAAAGACAAAAGAACAGGTGTCCCTTCGGCGTGGAGGACGGTGGTGAAAAAACACAGTTAGATGATAATGTCCTTTTTTTTATTCTGCCACTTTGTATTTATTTCCTCTGCCGTTTCAGTTTTTCACAGACCCGTGTGCCAGCAGCCCCTGTCTCCATGGAAACTGCAGCCGCAGCGACCTTGGCGGGGCGGTGGAACCGGCCTACACCTGCGAGTGCACCGAAGGCTACGAGGGGGAGAGGTGCGATCAGATCCTCCTGGACCTGCCGGCTGCCGAATGGGAGCCCGCCGCCCCCTCCGCCCCCGAGCCGGCCACCCCCGTGGCCCCCACCACCACGGCCGCCACTCAGCCGCCACAGACGACCACCGTCTCCTCCACCACAGCGCCGCCAGTTCCCACCCTGCAGCCATGGCAACCCAGACCCGGTCAGAGGGTGCTGGTGGTGCCGTGGGAGGCGGAGAGGGTGAGATGACTGCCACGCCAAACGTCAGCTCCTGTGGGTTTATCTTTGAAATGCATGACACATGTTGTGTGTGTGTGTGTGTGTGTGTGTGTGTGTGCCTCAGGTGACGGAGGGGCTGCACTGCGTGAGTCCTGAGCTGTGTGAGCTGACATCAGGAACTCTGACTCTGTCCCTGGAAGTGCCCGAGGAGACCGCTGTAAAGTAAGAGTAACTGTTGTGAGTGCCTGCTTTCCTCTTGCAGCACAGCCGGGGGCTCCGGGGGGGCCGGTGGTTTTGCTGTGGGCCCCTACTAGTGCACTGCAATGTTTAAATACCGTCCTGCTGTAAATGTAATGATTGTAACAGTAATCTGATTAAGCTCATTCAAGGCCATACATCTAATTCTTCCACACTTATTTCGTTATGAATAAACTAAATTGCACATACTGGGTAGGTGTGCTTTTCTTTTAAAAGGTAATGTCAACACCAACTGACAATCTCCAGCTGATTCGGTTCAACTTACGTTGACTCGGATGTGGCTATTGTCAGAAAAGCCTCTCACCTCGGCAGCTCACACGCCGCGCTCGAGCGGCGGGCCGACGTGGATTTGTTTCTGATCCGTCAGTGAGCCGAGAATCAGGGTTGACGGCACCCGACGCGTTCAGTAAAGGACACTCGTATACAAACACAAATGTACCACTTGGAACTTAAGCCGTTATCCAACAGTGTTATCATAGGCAGATAATAATGTAATAGAGCTCTTGTGTCCCCGAGGGGGGAGAGAGAGAGAGACTCACACTATCGAAGAGAATGTTGATCATTAAAGAGAATAGTCTGATGTAAATGTTTTGATGCATTCAATTATTTATGACTAACTGGCCACCAATTCTCTCAACAATTATCACCTTAAAATAACAGTAATAAAATGGCAACAAGGACGCAAGTAATGAACTGCTATTTTAAGGTGGCAGCTGCTGTCATTTATTTCATGCTTGTGTTTGACTGAAAAGTTCTCCAGAGGTGTAGTCATAATATTCATTTTTTATACCTAGAGTGTAAAATCACAGATTATTTTTGAATTTGTTTTTGTAAATATGTGATGTTCTTTTCAGAAGTGTAGAGGGTTTTTAAATCAGTGAGGATCCTTAATTGCAAAAGGCATCCAAACATGAATATTAATCTGCTGTAGATGTGTGGAGGTTCCTCCATTCCAAACATCCACGGGCATCACGCTTGAACCCAATTTGCTGTTGATGGTGGCAGCTCGTGTGTCGGTGTGAATGGATGAAGGTTAACATGTAGTGAGCAGAGTTAATCCGGCATGTACCCTGCGTGTGCATCATCAACTGCCCTCTGATGATTGATGTCAGCTTGTCACAGCATTTCTTTGAATGTCCGAGTTGCCCACGTTGCACCGCAGGCTGAGCACAGGATCTTTAAAAGAAACCTCGTTTCGGCTTGTCCGCCATCTTATTATGCCGCTCGCCGCTCGCAGCTTCACCTTCAGGCTCGGCAGCCTCTTCACTTTTTTGAAAAGCGGTTCACCTTTTCAGAACACAATTTCAACATGTGCTTTTTACATGCTGGTCTGCTCACGACAGAAAGACATTTCTGCACTTCTGAAGGGGGCTCTTGTAGAAATGTTTAGTCTTCTCTAAATACCCCCCTTTTTTAAACATTGTCTTAAATGTGGCTCTTGTTCAAGATGCACTGATAACGTTTCATCTCTCCTATGCACGCGTGCAGAGCAGGTTTCGCGCAGATTTTGTAATTTTCTAACTGGACAACGTTCACCGAGTAGAGTGACGATCTCTGTCTGCAATGACCACTGCTGTTTTGTGTGCTTGACTGAATAAACTCGCACATGGCTAACCCCACTAGTCAAATGGCCTTTAATTAAGGTGAACACAAACTCTAAAACAAGTGGCAGGTTATCCAGACCGTGTTAGAAACTTCACTTAACTTTTAACAAAAACCCATTGAAGTCGAAGGAGGTGTTTGTACTCGTAGTTACAGACTGTATGGCCCCTTTGGTACAAATTGTTGGAGCTCTTAATGAGGGATAACCCCCCCCAACCCCGACTGTTCAACAGGAATTACCCCCCCCCCCCCCCACCACCCCACCCCCCCCTCCACAGGGCCAAACTACTGACAGCAATTAATCACTGGAGCTGCCCTCAGGGCCCGGTGGGAGAAACAAACGGGCCGGGTTCAAACACGGTACAAAGTGTCGGACCAGAAAGACTGTCCGCCTGCTGCGTTGCTGCAGACCAGGTCAGCTCTTAAATTGACAATTAGGGATTGGATGAAGAAGAGAAGATCACACAGAGGATTCATTTCAACTTTAATATTGATTTTGTTGACGTTTTATTTCAGCACGTTCGGGAAGATAATCAAGTGTTGTCTGAATGTACAAAATATTAACGGTTTGTGTTACATTTCGTACTACTTTCAATGCATCTTGCCTGATAACATCCATCATTTAAACCCTAAATACTGCAAACCTGCAGTACGACAGCTAAAAGAGCAGCTGAGAACCAATTAAATAGGGATCATCGACATTCGCTATAAATTTGTGCTTTGGTCCAAACTGCAGAGAATCTTCAACTTCAACTATTTTCTCTCTCTCTGATTCTCCTTCCCTGTTTGATCGCCATCCTCCCTCCCTCCCTCTGCCTCTTCATCTCTCTCCAACTAAGGGTGGTGGTGAATGTCAGTGGAGCTCCGGTGCTTTGGTGTGTGAATGAAGAGGGTTTCCTCCGCTCCTCCATTTTGAACGGCACCACACTGCAGTTCCTGCAGGCTCCCGATGGATTGGTGGTGCCGGACCGCTCGCTGCCTCTCGGACAAAACTACTTCCTCGGTAAGCTGTCGCCTATACAAGCATATGCATATGTACAGTATATACACAGTCTGAACAGAATGTTACTCGTGTATTATTTTAATTGGATAATTGGACTCATCTCTTACAGCTCATTTGCAACTGAGCCAAACACACCTGAGGAATTACTAAATCCAAATAAACTGTTGCGTTCCTTCCTGACATGACGTTGGGGAGAATCGCATAATATTTACATAAATGAGTCAAAATATTATTTGCATATTGAAGGAAAGAAAATGGGATCTATTTATGCTGATAATCCAGCTGTATTTTGATACTGTGCTACACACAGGCACATTCACACATTCACACGATACCTAGAATAAGACTCCTTGGCGGGAAGGCTGCTTGACCTCTGTGTGTGATCAAAATACCTGATGCTGTTTCACAAAGCTGCCTGTCTTCCGACCTTCACGTGACTTTTAATTTTGAGGTAAACAGCGTCTGCATTGCCTGAGAGAGCGAGAGAGAGAGAGAGAGAGAGGTGACACTGGGGAGTTAAATCAGAGGGGAGGAAGGATGAACGAGGGTGGCAGAGAGTCAGATAAGAAGGGAACTGGACGAGAAAGAAGAAAAGATGGCGAAGCAGAGAGGGATTACTGAGAGGAGCAGAGAGAGAGAGAGAGAGAGGCTGCAGAGCGAGGGAAGGATGAAGGTCAAACTGCCAGAGGAACATGAAGATCCATGCAAAGCATCAGTGAGGAGGGAAGAGCGGTGACACTGCATTTCCATCCTCGCACGTCACCGCACCTGAATGTCGGCAATGAGCTGTAAGGATTTGATGGAGCTGCGTCTCTGCGGGACAAACGTTGGGCGCCATTGGGCTGACGATCGCTCGGCCAGAGGTGACAGAGGAGCAGGGGTTGTTTGGTCGGCCCTCTCATTGGCCGAGCAGCTCGCGCCGTCAGAGTCTCGTCATTGGTGCACTCGCAGCCCGTTGGTTCGGATCAGGCTCTAAAAAATGGCAGTTAATATTTACCGTGTGGCTATTTTTAGCCAAGCACCCGTATGACTGTCAGCTTTGATTGAAGATATAACGAGAGATGTCCTGAACTTCTAGACCCAGAGAGACGAGACAAAGAGGCATGCACTCTATTTCAGTTCTTTTCTTAACACCTTTGGCCACATGGGGGTTAATTGTTTTTTTGGCAGCAAGGTGAACTGACCCCAAAGTATCTTTGAGTAAGATTATGAGTCTGCACCCATGGTAACTGCTCTTTGAAGCTGCGCACAGGCTGACATCAGCGAAATCCCCAAATGCTCACAATGACAATGCTTATAAGAGTAATATTTATGATATTATTCACCTTTTTAGTGAGTATTAGCATTCCAGTATTGCACAAAACAAAAACAAAGTAAAGCTAGTGCTAATGGGAAGGTCATAATCTAAGCGGGTATTTAGTCCTAAACCAAAGTGATGAATACATTGAAACTTGATGATGGGACTACATGAAACGTTTTGTGTAAATTCTTTTAAAAGTTGTTAAGATATTTACCCACATCCATAAATGACAACCTTGTGGTGGCGCTTGATGAAGAAAATTCCTCATCTGGGGAACGTTTATGTCTGAAATAAATTTGGTTGCCTATTCTTATAATAAACCTGCCTGGAATTGAGAGCTTTTCTGCTAAGACATGGGGCTTATGTATTTAATAGTATCAACCCATATTTTAAAAATGTAAAGAATGAATTAATAATAACGCCACGTGAACACTCTCCTGCGGCAGGTGTGTTGCGTGTGGGCGCCCCCACTGCCCCGGAGGTCACCCTGCGTCTCAACCTGACAGTGAAAGCCAGCAGCTGCGTGGAGCCCGGCAGCAGCTTCAGTGACCCTCAGTGCTCCGGCAAAGGCAAATGTATCACACAGCCCTCTGAGGTGAGGAATAATGTTTCTTATCATCCAAACCACACAAGCTCTGGTGTGAATGAAGCCGAAAGTTGTTCAGAACAGCAATGCAACATATAACACAGCAATGCTACATATAACACAGCGACGCAACATATAACACAGCGACGCAACATATAACACAGCGACGCAACATATAACACAGCAATGCTACATATAACACAGCGCGCAACATATAACACAGCAATACAACATATAACACAGCAATGCTACATATAACACAGCGCGCAACATATAACACAGCAATACAACATATAACACAGCGACGCAACATATAACACAGCGACGCAACATATAACACAGCGACGCAACATATAACACAGCAATGCTACATATAACACAGCGCGCAACATATAACACAGCAATACAACATATAACACAGCAATGCAACATATAACACAGCAACGCAACATATAACGCAACATATAACACAGCAATGCAACATATAATACAGCGACGCAACATATAACACAGCGACGCAACATATAACACAGCAATGCTACATATAACACAACGCGCAACATATAACACAGCAATGCAACATATAACACAGCAACGCAACATATAACACAGCAATGCAACATATAACACAGCAACGCAACATATAACATAGCAATGCAACATATAACACAGAAATGCAGAAAAAAAACAAGCAAAAAAAAACGTCGCCCTTCGTCTCACTTGGCAAAGATCACAAAAGAAAACAAAAGAACAAGTCCAAATATCATCGTACAACACAATGCAATGCAACATATATCACAGCGACGCAACATATAACACAGCAATGCAACATATAACACAGCGCGCAACATATAACACAGCGACGCAACATATAACACAGCAATGCAACATATAACACAGCGCGCAACATATAACACAGCAATGCAACATATAACATAGCAATGCAACATATAGCACAGCAATGCAACATATAACACAGCGCGCAACATATAACACAGCAATGCAACATATAACATAGCAATGCAACATATAGCACAGCAATGCAGAAATGCAACACATAACACAGCAATGCAGCAATGCAACATATAACACAGCAATGCAACATGGACCAGAACCACCAGAGACCCGTTAGTCGCCACAAGATCCACACCTTGAATTAAAAGAGATTCCCTTGATGTGCTAAAAAGTAGAAAATAAAGGGAGGTGTTGCAGAGACCATTTCACGGTTTCTCTCTTCTTCTCATTATCTCTCCTCTCGCTGTTTGAGAAAATCAAACTGTGTGACTGCTGCTTGTTAGTGCAGCGTTATGTTACTGAATAATTTTACAATCTGCGATCCCATTATTTCTGTTTCACAAGATTCGCCTCCTTTCATCGCTTCCTCCGCTTGTTTCACCTTCAAGGCTCGTTGATTTGACTTGTTTTGCAGAGCACTTTCTTCTGCGAGTGTGAGGACGGCTACACTGGGATCTTCTGTGAGGAATTCGACGCTTGCCACCGCCGGCCTTGTCACAGTAACGGCACCTGCACCGACGTGAGGCAGGGGGGCGAAGGACGCAACTTCACATGCACCTGCCCACCAGGTGCGTGATTGTGCGCATAATGCCGCATGCTTTTATACACCAACAACGCTTCACACAGCCGCCTGTGTGTGAGGCTCCGTGAACAGTCTCAGCCCTCCTGTGGTCCTGCGGGTTGTTTTGATTGGAGCCATGCAGATGTAAAAATAACAGGGAACCTCTCTTATTGTTTTTGAAAATCCTCAAAGAAACACATGAGAGCGTGTTGGACCTTTAACGTTGTCAGATTTATTTGACTTGAAGTGAGGGCCTGTGGCAGGAAGGTAAATGTCGGAGGTGACTTGTGAATACCTGTTGCTCCCTGTGCTAAGGAGCCCGGTTGACAGGAAACAAAGATGCATGCAGAGAAAATGTAAATATAGCTCAAATTGGTGGATTTTGTGGTCATTAATGACTTTTTAAAAAACATAATCCTATCGATCTTAAGTTAGATGCCCATTAGCTGACTATTAACATCTTTGCAATAATCAATAGACATTCATTTACATGCTTGTAAAAAAAAACCTAATATGGGAAAAAAATGAAGACCGACTTTTCAGTTCTGGTACTCCAAGTAGTCACTTTTAGCGGATTCAACTTCTGTTTGAATATGATGACAGACATCTGGTCTGTTTTTTTTTCCCAGGTTATGAAGGGGAGCGCTGCCAGTTGCTGGTGGACCATTGCCTCTCTCAGCCCTGCAAGAATGGAGCCACTTGCTTCAGCAGCTTGGCCGGGCCCAGGTGCTATTGCCCCGAAGGTAGGAACCCAACTTGATGACGGCTTTCTATCACTATTTTTAAATTTGAAATCAAATGTTGCATTTGTGCCTCAACACCCTGCGATGTTTGTGTTTCCATGTGAAAAACAGAATTGCACAGAAGGGGAAAATACATGCACCGTTGCACTATTCACACTTTTTCTGCAGTCTGATTTCAGTTAATTTACACCGACTGTCTCCGGTTTTAACTATATCTGTGCCACTGAAATGCTTAATTTAAACCTTCCTCCTCTTTGCTAATTAGTCTTCGTAGCCTCAGCGACCTGCATCAGACCGTCTGGGGAAATCTGTGGCCGCAAAACTGTATTTCTCAATAAGAGCGCGCCACGTAGTGTGCATTCCCTCCCAGAATACAGCTGTGGCGTTTGATAAGAACGGCCCGTGACACATAAATAAAGACGCAGCAGATGGTTGTAGAAAGGTGGCGGGAAGGTTGTGTCATTGTTCCAGGTGGAGCTCCCAGCAACCGGCCAGCATTGTGGGTCTGTAGGGGGTCTCACTCACACCGCAACAACCTGACGGTCTCCATTGAGGAAAGTCATTCACAATCCACCACTTTCAGCGTAGGTCTTTTCATTAAATGAGAGCGCGAGAGCGCCAGTGTATCAATGCAGGGAGACTTTCAAAAATGTCTTCCGCTTGTTAGATAAAGGGTCCGAGGGACGTGTTGGACAAATTATAGCACTTATTTTTCATGCAGCCTCACGGAGAATCAATCTGTAATACTCCCTGCTTTGAATACCAAAGAGACCAACTTTAAAATATCAGAAAGCTTTAAACCGTAGATCTTTTTGCACAGAAGACATTCTGAGACGCCGCAGTAAGAAACAGGAATGTTTGTGCTGGTATTGTGTGTGATTGGCTGACTGGTCACAAACAAATGTTAAACCACAATAATCAAATCAGTAGAGCAATTCTTTAAGATGAACGAGAATGTAATCAACCACAAAATGAAGCGTGCGGGAGAGAGAGAGAAGCGCATGTGCACACAAAATGGGAAATCCATACAAGAGGATTTCTCAGAAGAGCACACGCTGTTTAACAAATAATGAATCAATAATTGAATCAGGATGCTGAACAACTCTCACACACTCCTGCATTAAATCCCGTTTGCTTCTCTGATCAACACATCAGGTGAGGATTATTTAGATGTAAACAGCCTGCGGGTAAATTCATCAAAGGTAGAATGTAATGTTTAACATGTGGGGTTTTTTAAACGCAAGAAGTTTAAATTAGCTCCTTTGCAGTAATGTGTTGTCCACAATCATAAGACATTTCATCTCATTTCGAAAAGTCAGAGTATGAATCTCTGTTCAGAATGTAAAACGAAGAGAGAACCATGTTTGTTCTTCCTGCAGCGCTTATTCCCGAACCCGTCTCTCTTCGTTTGGAGCAGAAGTTAAAAGCTTTTTTGTTCATGTTCCTCAAGGACAATATATACACGAGGCTCTACACTAAAAACTGAGTAGATTCATACCACAGTGTCCTCCACAGGTACAGAAATGCGAGCACACGCAGTAAACATGCCCAGGTACAGTCCAGCCTCCCACCTCCATAAATTACACCTGCGTATCGTCTTGCAATATTCCAGCTCAGACAGAAGCAATAAATGAGATTATGGAACTGTCGCAGACGTCATCATAGAGGCATCAACTCTGTGATCACTCCGAGGCTGAAAGCTGTGTTTTTATCTGCTATAGAGCCCGACGGAGGCGGGATGGTGAGAGAGATTTACCTCACAGGTATAGAAGGATGGTGAGATAGATTTACCTCACAGGTATAGAAGGATGGTGAGATAGATTTACCTCACAGGTATAAAAGGATGGTGAGATAGATTTACCTCACAGGTATAGAAGGATGGTGAGATAGATTTACCTCACAGGTATAAAAGGATGGTGAGATAGATTTACCTCACAGGTAGAGAAGGATGGTGAGATAGATTTACCTCACAGGTATAGAAGGATGGTGAGATAGATTTACCTCACAGGCATAGACGGATGGTGAGATAGATTTACCTCACAGGTAGAGAAGGTAATCATTTTACTGCTGTTTGTTTCCCTGTCAACAGCATATTTCACAAACCCAACAACTTTCCAGGGATCATAAAACTAAATGGACTCCGTAATCACACCTTACCGCCACACAGGTTCACATGTTTACAGCTTAAAATGAAAAATAATTGTACTTGAAACAAATAACTGTAAAATCCGACGTTTAAGAGGTTCTCTGCGTGTTTACGGTCGGCTCGGAGCAAAGTGATGGGTAGAGGAAGCCTGCAGGAATACCATTTAAAAATAAGAGTTTCACAGATCATTAAAGGCTGCCACATTGTTAACTTTCTCACTCACACACTAATACACACTGACAGGAGGAAGTGTGCGTGTCGGTTCTGTGGCTGCCAGTCAGAACTGTCGCAGGCGTCAGCGAGCCGGCTAAATTTAAAGCGTTGACTGCTTCTAAAGTGGAATGTTTGAACGGCGGCAGCAGCAATGAAGAAGCGCCTCTATGTCAGCCGGGTGCTGTGTCGCCACGTGTGTGAGTTTGTGCCTCTATTGGTTAGACATTTGGAAATTAAATATATTTTCAACTATATTCCAAACAGGGAATCAAATAAAAAATCCTAACCTTAAATGTATGCGAGAGGGTGTGCGTGTGTGTGTGTGTGCGTGTGTGTGTGTGTGCTGCTATCTGTGGGATTGTGTGGGGAAAAGGGAGAGGAGACGGGGGAGGAGGCACAGAAGTGAAAAGGGAGCACAGAGAAAGAGAGAGAGGGTGAGATTTGGGGGGAGATTTATGCTGCAGTTAAATGATAAATGCCCTTGACATAAAGTCTTGCAGATCAATGGATGCTTGAGAGATTTCTCCATCAGCTGGATGGATTGTGCACTCGGCACATGAACGCACAACGTAAATATCACCGCTGGTCGTCTACACGCACACACGAGCCTTTCTCCTCTACGACGGAGGTGAAGACAGAGGAGCAGAAGGGCTGAAGAACAGAGGGAGAGGAAGTTATTTTTAGACGAGGAGGTTGGGTGAGAACACCAGAGGCTCACATGCTAATGAGAGGACGTGAGGAGGAAACCAGTGGCTTCAGCTCACAACCAGAAACTCAACACAAACGGCTCTTTCACGCGATGGTTTCGTCTTTCCCGTCGACAGCAACATATTTTGTATCTGTTGAGCTTCTTTCACGGCCTGTTTCTGTCTTTGACAACGAGGAGGAAGAGAAGAGATAAAAGCGCCCGATGTGGTGATTTACTACATGATTCCACACAACACATCAGCAAGACCGGACGGTCATTAAAACGTTGGTTTGACATCTCGAGAAAGACGTGTATTGGCTTTTTTTTTCCCGGTGAGGCTGCAGATAGAACAAAGCTGCCCTCGGATGATGCCGATAACGATTTAAACTGTGAAAGAGAAGCTTCTAAGACATCCAGTTCCTACCCTTCAATAAAAATGTACAACATGCTATTTTAAATTGTGCAAATGTTTTTTTCTTTAATCAAAGAAAAGACTAAACTCAGTTAAGTCGGAAGGAATGGTCTGCCCTTAAAGAAAACACACCCACAAAGAGCCGATTTGCAGTACGAGGCCGTCTCGGTGAACAGAAGGGTCCGTGCCAGGGTGGATGTCACATGTTGCACTGCACCGCCTAATCTACATTAGCACAGGCCCTGCTGTGCCACTCTGCCCACCTGCAAGCAGGCTCATCTAAAGCCATAAAATGAATACATTCGAGAAGGGTTACGTCTGCTGAATCGTCAACAGGGCGGCTCTCGAACCTCAACTCTGCTGCTTGATGTTTCTACTTGATAAGGTCACCAAGTTGTGTTAATGTTACGGCTGCTGGCAGAACTCCGGAGCTTCTGTCTTCTTCCAGCCACATGGGGACTCATTATTTTTTGTGCGGGTTCCCAGTCGTTTTCCCCTCATGTCTCTCTCTGTTTCACACCGTCCCCTCTCTCGCAGGCTACCAGGGCGCTACGTGTGAGCAGAAGGTCGACCCGTGCGCCTCCGGCCCCTGTCACAACAACGGGACCTGCTACGCCCAGGGCCCCGGCCCCCTGGGCTTCGGCTGCAGCTGCACAGCGGGCTTCACCGGCCCCACGTGCGCCCAGCTGGTGGACTTCTGCGCCCTGAACCCCTGCGCCCATGGGGTCTGCCGCAGCGTGGGCAACAGCTACAGGTGTCTGTGTGTCCCAGGTGAGCTATTTAGTAAAGCTTCTCGGGCTGCTGCTGGCAGCTGATGTTAAAAGTGGGACATCAATATCTTTGATGAACAGTATCTACTTCATAAAATGCATCTGTTATAGGACTTTTAGTTGTGTCACAGGCTGCATGGCTACTTGGGCGGGATAGAGTCCGAACTTAATTCAAGACGCATGTTAGTTTGAGTGTTTTTTGCTGCAGGGGTACTTTCAGAGGGATCTCCGTGAGACGGTTGAATAGAGATCCGGAACTAGTGGTAATGGTGTTTGTGGTAAGACGACAGCCTGTCAACATTTACCCCAAAGGTCCCCCGTCTCAACTGATCCACCCTGACACTCCACTCCGCAAATATTATAGAAGATCTCAGAGGAAACCGGCATTGCAGGTTTTATGTTTGTTAAGCAGGAACAGAATATATCTGACATTTTTCTTTACATCAAAAAAGTGGTTTATATAAATTACGACCAACAGAAGATATTGCCTTGGGACCCCTGATTCCTCGGACCCCTGGGGCCTGATGCTTCCTTTAAGAAAGCCATCCGCAGATACCTTCTGCATGCATCACCACCCTAAACCTGGCTTTAGAAGCGCTAGAACGCTGGCTTCTAGTAGGAGCTCAGAACCAAGAGTCGCGGTAAATATCCTCTCGAGTTATTTTTAGATGGGCCGATTGCGGCGCTTGCATCGATGCCCCTGTGAGGAAATCAATTGAGTGGAATGATGACTTACCATTATCCACTATCTTGCAATTATGGAATGGTAAGATATAGACTTTCCCACTGGACCATAAACATAATTTGACACTTTGCCCTTCCTGCTGTCCATGCCACCCGTCCCTCAGAGGTAGAAGCCCCGGGATCTCTTAATTGTCCTATTCTCATAGTCGCTGCTTTGTTGTCTCTCTTGCTTTAATGAGGGAGGTATCGACATATCTTCACAGTTTAATCTGTAGAAAACAGATGAATTGCCACATAGCCTTTCTTTCACGTATTGATTTGTTTTTTTGAATGATGCATGAGCTATTAGCTCTCTTTCCAACCTGAGAAAGTTTCCTAAACATTTGAATTATTTCTTGAGTCCATAATCCCTCCATAAAAGATGTTCTTCATGTTTATTTAAAGGCTTTCACTCCCTCTTTGTCACTGCAAGCCGAGACGTTGCGTTCCAATTATTCAGATATCTATTTTCCTTCCAAACGATCCTTATTCTTTTTCTGTTTAGCATTTCTTTCAGATTTTCTTCTTCTTCTATGTCCCTTTGTCCTTTCTTGCTTTTATCGCTCTGCCGTTTACCTCACCTCATTCCCATTCATCCTCTGTTGTCTGGTTGTCATGGTGAATTGTGTGCGGGGCTTGCAATCAATTGTCTGTGTCTGTGACTATGCTAGTTGAGCAGATGCTTCCATCCAGTCGAACGTCTCCACTCGGACCGCCCGGTCTAATGGGGTCGGTGAAATCGGTGGTGTGTAATTAGCAGACATTACACACACACAAACAGACACAATGTTTTAGACCGAAATTGGGATTTTTTCTGGCTTATCAGAATGCAAGCTGTTGTCTGAGGTATGTGTGTGTGTGTTCATGGTGGTATGTGTGCTTTTCTGCTACGATTAAGCTCGCTAATGTGTTTGTGCGTGTCTGTATATATATATATATATATATATATATATATATATATATATGGTTGGCTGTTGGAAAGAAAGCTGCCCGGGAACTGATATGTAGAAGGTCTCCTGTAATCCAGCTCGCACGTGGAGCTGCCGTCCCACCGGCCGGCCCACAGAAAGCAGACGCTCTTGGAAAAGCACTTGACATTTCACTGGCATTTCACAGACGGGACCCTAGAGGCTCTGAACGGGCTCCTGATTAATTCCACCTCTCTCCTTCCCCAAACACATGTTAGCTGAGGCCTGGGGAGGTTTTGCTGAAACTTTGTCATCACTGGGACTCTGGTAGGAAAGTGGGAGCCGAGCTAAAGAAAACCGATTGCTGCACTAGTCGTGCGAGGACTCGAGGGACTTCGGTCCTCTGGTGATTTCCGTTCTAAAGTTGTTGCTCTGAGAAGCAGCTTTGAGTGTGATCAGGTTTATGAAAGTACATCAGTGCATTTACATACATTACAACCATTTGTCTTTTTTGCCTTCCAAAACATACATGTGTCCTTGAGTTTTCTAATACGGGTATCTTCACAACTGGCACACAAACTGTGACACTACGCTTTGTGCTTTTCTGCTTTACTTCTAAATATTGTCTGAGAAGCAGATGAACTAGTTGTGTTACTCAAACGCTGGCCCGTGCATTCAGATCTTGCAGCCCTTTCCTGCCTCAGTGCACAGCTGCCATCCAATGGAAAGCCCAGTGCACTGCATGTCATGTGACCTGACGCCCGACGCCATTGACCAAATGCAGACCGTACAATATATTCACACTCTCCTAACTCATTAAATAAGGAGATCTGACATGTGTTGATACACTATTAGCGGTGTCTTGTGCGTCCTTGTGTGGTTTTCCTTTTTTTTTCTTCTGTGGACCGGTAGTGAAGAAAACAAAATCTGAAATGAATGTAGAGCTGCATGACGACACTGCTGTCTGCAGCGTTAAAGGGAAAGAGAAAGTGATGGCTAATCGTTGTATTCACCATGAGTCCAAGGTTGCAGGTCCCATGGCACCTCCAAATGCACCACCACAACCTTTGAGAAGTAAGGTCGGTAAAAGTTAGCGACTTGTACTAACTGCTGATCACAGTTGAATTCACAACGCGCTTTTCAGCAAAAAACCCTCAAGGTTAAAACATTTTTCTGGTTGCATCAGCAAAATACCACATTATTAATTATTAAATGCCGCTTACATTATTACGTACTGTTTTGTGTCCCATTAAGGCTACCATGGCTTGTACTGTGAAGAGGAGTACAATGAGTGTTTGTCCGCCCCCTGCCAGAACTACGCCACCTGCAGGGATCTCATCAACGCCTACGAGTGTGTCTGCACTTCACAGTTCGATGGTATGTATCTATCCATGTATGAGAGAGTTTGCGATTCTTTCTAGGTGCAGGCGCACGCACCTGTGAGTCGTTTTACTTCTACGGAGACTGTTGTGCATCTTGGTTTCTCATAGGACACGTTCTGTGCGTGTGTTTGTGCAGGCAGACACTGTGAAATCTACAAGGATCCCTGTCTGAAGATGCACTGCCAAAATGGAGGCCACTGTGAGAGTGCGGGACTCAATAATTCCTGCGTGTGCCCACCCGGATACCTGGGTGAGCAGTGGCGCTCGTGCCACCTCCCGCTCAGTAACATTCACATGACACGGTCGTACAAACCTGGATTTATAAACAGGTTTCAGCGGGAGTCCAAATACTGCTGTGAGCATTAGTTCCTGCTATTGTCTGCGTTGCCTTGCTGGTCATTGAACACAACCTCGCATGTCCACGCAGGGGACAGGTGTGAGGTCGACATCAACGAGTGTGAGAGCAACCCCTGTCACCATGGAGGCACCTGCGTTGACCAATCAAATAGCTTCACCTGTCATTGTCCACCTGGGTGGGTGGGGCCCAGCTGTGAGATCCGTAAGTCGGCCTGTGTGTGTGTGTGTGTGTGTGTGTGTGTGTGTGGGTGGGGGGGTGGGGGGTTATTGTGGGGACATAAACTGGTTTACACGGTGAAAATGGGGGGATTTGCCTTCTTTTCTGGGACGAAAGGTGAATCCCCAACACTTGTACAGTTGGTGGAGGGTTTACAAGTGGCAGTAATGTTGCAGCTTCGGCGTAAGTCTCCAAGTCGATGTGACGTGTTTGTCTCCGTCTCAGACCTGCAGTGGAAACAAGCGCACACTGAGGACACCCTGACCAACATGCCGCGTCACTCCCTCTACATCATCATCGGAGCTCTGTGTGTGGCCTTCGTCCTCATGCTCATAATCCTCATTGTGGGCATCTGCCGCATCAGCCGCATCGAGTACCAGGGCTCGTCGCGCCACGCATACCAGGAGTTCTACAACTGCCGCAGCATCGACAGCGAGTTCAGCAACGCCATCGCCTCCATCCGCCACGCCAGGTCAGTGGCGGGATCCGGATACGCTGACGGATAGGCGATAATTAATGTGAGAGCTTTGTGTCGGTGGGGTTTCCCTTCAAGAAAGATGTAGAAGCAAACGGTCCCAGATAAAGGTCAGTTCAGAATCTCGCCCCATCGCCTCGTCGCCTCTTTTCTGGAGCTTGTGGATCTTGTAAAAGGAAAAAACTAAAAGTAGGTCAATCGGCGTGTCCAAGGTCAAGAATAGAAGCTGGAAGCTCACGTCAGTCTGACACATGGAAAGTTGCTTTTCTTGGGGTTTTGTTATTCTATAAAGTTGCATGTCACCGTTATCAGGGGAGATGACCTTGTCTTTGGATGGGAAAGATTAAATCTCTAGCAGACAGGCTGATTTACAATCTGTGGACGTCGAGGCTAAAGCCGAGTGGCATTTAAAATGCAGGGAGGGTCAAACACAGAGAAGCTCCGCATTAAACGAGGTGTCGGTTCGAGTGGTTTTAAGCTAAAAGCTTAGACATAACCGGCTCTGCTGCATATATATTTTGACCTTTCATTTTCTCTCTGTTCTGAGTCCCTCTTTAAAGAAGTGCAACACTAATTCACTAAATTAACCTTTTTTCTTTAAGTTACTACGCTCTATTTGTATCACTGGCTACTTTGAGAAAATGTATTTAAAGATGCACTATTGATGCATTTGTTGTGTTTGTGGCTTCTTGGGCAGATTTGGCAAGAAGTCCCGTCCAGCCATGTACGATGCCACTCCCATCGCCTACGAAGACTACAGTCCTGACGACAAGCCTTTGGTTACCCTCATCAAGACCAAGGATTTGTAGAACAAAACCATCCCAACACATCAGCAGCTGTACACATGCGCATACACACACATTTACATATATATGTATGCAGAATGTCAGTATAAATCTTCACGTATTTCTTAAGAAAGGAAATAACAGCAAAACAAAATTGAATGTAAAAGCAGAGAAAAAAAAGAATCCAAGACGTACTGTAGTAATCTGGAACGTAACAACACAAATATATTTTCCTGTCGACGTCAACAATAAGGCTTTATTGTAGCATAGCAGAACACTTAAGTCATTGATGATGGGCGGCCCTGCAGTAACCTCTGCTGTACTGCAGGGATGACTTTAGTCTGCACCAGACAAGGTCGGCCACCCCAAAGCCTAAATTCCTACGTGTAAACTCAGCAAACAGTGCTGACAGCAGTCCGTGCTGTGGTGGTAGAGATAGGTGCACTCCTCTCGGTGCATACACTGTATCTTTTTCTATATCTTACAACAACAAAAAAATCTGCAGTAGGTTGCCTTACTTCGTGCATGGTTAGATTAGATGTTCTCTCTGCGTTATTTTAAAATCCTTTATTGATGTGGTTTTTTTTTTCACTTAGTTGTATTTCTCGCTGTCATGATTGTGCCAAATATTTTGAGAGTAATTTGTGGTTAGAAGATTAAATACAAATGTATAAAATACTAGTCACGCACATTTTCTTTTTAAATAATTGCATATAGTCCTGTTCTTTACATGCAAGTTTCTCAATGGTATTATGAATAGTAGAGAAAGTGGGATTGCTGTGACCCTACCAACCTGCTCTATGTCTATCAGTGATATTTAGGATAATAGATCGGTATATTTCTCAATACACAGAAAAGTAGTTGGTTTAACTCAGAGTACCCGACTCTGCTAGTGTACACATTCATCTCTAGTATTGACCGTGTTAAAAAGTGTTGTTCGGGCGTAGAGGGGGCGGAGATTAAGAGGGATGATTTCTACTCCAGAATAAATGTGCTTCTGCGTCCTGCCAATGGAAACGTCTCTGTCCGTGCAGCTGTGTTGTTCCTCTCAAGCAATATTTTACCAACAGGCTCAGCTGATCCGTTTTTTCCTTCTCGTTTTAACGATTACCTGTTATCTATGTTGAATGATGAAAACAATAAAGAATCAAGTGAACATAACGCACAGTACTTGCTTGCTGTGTCACGTGAAGCATGTTTTTCTTCTACTTGTACCAAAACAATGCTTTTTACTTTGAAACTACAAGCCGGACGATTTAATCTATCTTTATTTGGTCAATTTACTTACTTACTAGCTGGCTGTTTAAAAAGGGTTAACATTTTTTTAATTTGAGTTATTTTACAGTTCTTTACAGTTGACACCTGTTGCTATGGACGATGCCAAAATGATATACTCTCAAAGTGTAAGAAACATTATAGCCGCATTATATTATTTTTTGTTTTTATAAAAAACAAAAACCCAAATGAAGAACAACCAACAGCGTCTGTCTTTCTGCAACGTCCCACGTCCCCCCTCCCTCCCCCCCGGACTGAGCCCTCCGCTGTGGGAAAACCCTTTCATGGAGTCAATAATTTGAACACCCTCAGTGACCTCAGGCTCTATCCAGATGTTCCCCATGTAAACACCTCTAAATACAGACTGAGACTCTGGGGTAATGGCGCCCAACACACCTACATATATTGTGTGTGTGGGTACACAAACATGCACGTACACACACATTGCAGGAGGACCGGCTGTCTCTGCTCTCACCTTTGCTTCAGTCTGCTTTGGTGACTTGTGCTCGGAGTTATGCCCTCTGTTTTCCCAAGAAGGTCAACATGGCTGGTCATGGATCCCAAAACAGGTGTTCCGCTGGCTTCACCACAAAACGAAAAAAACACAGCTACAGCTAATGGTAAAATTTGTGTAGTAAAAGTAATTCACTCTACAAAATGATAATTCTTCCGTGGATTCCCAGAACGCACTTTTAGAATTACAAGCTCAAATCATCTCAGTTCAAAAGAGCAATGCAGACTAAATGTTTAAAGTTGTTCTTGAGACTCTTAAGGAGTTTAGAATAAGTGGGGATGATTATGTATCCTCAGCGCCCTCTGTGAAACGTGGGAATTATCACATGTACGTTTTAAAGTAACCACATTTTGATTACTGCCTTTCTATACTCTGGTCTGGATGACTAATCTTCTGAGACCTTTAAGGTCAATTTAAAAAAGTGGTACATATCATTTCCAGACCTTTTTGGGCCTTTTTTGCACCAAAGTAATCACGTCCCGTTTACCGTTCAATCCATTTTGGGGGTTGATCAGTGTAGTTTGAAGGTGAGTCAATAATTGTAAAGAAAAGTAAAATAAAATGGATGTCTTCGTGTGTCTTCTCTTATTAAACTGCCAACATGTAAAGAATTTCACATGAATGTTGCATAATATTTTTGCATAAAACCTCCAGAAGCAACAATATACCCCACGGCACCAACACGGTAAGATATAATGATGATGGCACACGTAAGCTATTTTCCTCCCGAGGCTCAAAAACAACCGTGTCACTACTTCGCCTGCAGAAACTCCTCCTTCCTGAAGTACCTGAAGGCAGCACGCACCGAGAGGGGCCTACCACGCGCGGCCAGCGGCTCCACCTGCTGGTCGGTCCGACGACTGCAGCCAGGCGGAGCAACACATCCCTTCATTACCGACCCGTCCGGACCGAAGGAGCACAGAGAGGCGATCCGTAGAAAAGCGAACAGATGTGATCCGGACTACGAGAAGAGAAACAAAGCTGTAGTTTAAAGACGGAGAACCTTTCGAGTCTGCTAACAATGTGGCAACCCGCGTCGGAGCGATTGCAGGTGAGATCCGCGCGTGAATGATCCGCCTATTGTCGACAGGCCAGCGGTGAAAAAGACACCGGTGCCGCCGCGCGAGCGGGGCTCCGGCACGGGGACGGACGCTCGCTGCGAATACCGAGCAGCTACAGATGTTTTGTGAGCGCCGTGTTTCGTTCGGATGTTTGTTTGTTTTCTTTTTGTCGTCGTGAGAGGAAACAACCGTCGTTTTTCTTCCCGTCTGTGTGGTTTAAATGCAGCCGTTCACGTTACGCAAGCCGGGGGGGATACAAGTGCAACAACGTGCATTCCTCTGCTGATCTACCGACGGGTATTGTCTTAAAATGAACACAAAGCATGTTCTTGCAGGCTGCCCCCCCCCCCCCCAACGGGCCTGTTTCATGCAACATTAACCTTTTACACCAACCTAGCGAGTGCAACCGCAGGCCGACTCCTCCTGTTGTCACACCAGGATGCTTAATCTACCGTTTTACTCCTCATTCCTGTGGGGAAATCGCTCCATCACAAAGCGCGGCTCCTGGGTAAATAACGAATGGAGGAAAAAAAAACCACCCAACACAATGAATGACACGTAGTGTGATATCCAGAGGCCAACCGTGCACCGTGCGCGTCCCTTGCAGACCGTAATGCTCCCCAGATGTTGGCCTGCGGATCGCCTGCCAAGTGAACTTGCACAATCCCTCAATTTCTGCCCAGGCGTCAAGAAGATGGACTCACGTATTGTTTAAAGCGAGAGCCCTGATGTTCACATGGTGGGGTCGAGAGGCCGTAATTGATCTCACACGCACACACACACAACCCCGCTCTCTCGATTCGTTGAGGCCCCCCATGTGATCGATTGATCGATCTGTCTCACGTGTTCCTCCTTTGCACATGTGAAGTGTAGACGTGAATCCCTCCAGTCGGTGCACGTTGCCAACTACCCCTCACTAAAAGCTCACGTGGTTGCAAGGTTGAAAACCCCCCCCCAAACGGAGGTGAACCTGTTATTTTGTCATTCCCAGGTCTCAGTGTACCCACCCGTAGCCGTGTGCTGAACAGTCATGAGTTAGAAGAACGTTTCTACATGCGGGCAATTTTCTTGCCATGTTCGCGTTCACCATTCGGATCCACATTCTGTTACGGTTGCACATTTAAAAGAGTAAGCAAAGCTTCAAAGAGGCATTCTTGAAGATCAGTTGGCTCATCGCGGGGAGTGCAACGTCTGCGCTTGAGATCAGTTGGAGGGTCTTTTGAAGGGAGCTTTCCAAAGTCTGAGGAAATAACATCAGGCCGTGGAGATTAGAGGAAAAAAAAACAACCCCCCCAAAAGAAGCCTGCTACAAAGTGGTATGAGGTTTGATTGACACGGGCATTTCGGGGAGTTCATTTATGTATTCTGAGGAATGCAGGATCCAGCTTTTTAGAATTGCAGTACTTGCTGGAGGAAAAATACGCCTTGGCTCCCGCCGGTCTGCTTCCTGGACGCCAGACAGTTTAGCATCTTTCTGCAGACTTCCAAGCTATGAAATACCGCGGAGCGATGGTAAGCCAGATGGATGACTTTTGAGAGGAATTTGGATCAACAAAGTCTGCCCAGGTGGCTCTGCGTCCGTGCAGGAACCTCTGTGACGGGTTCATGCTCCACCTGCACTGCCTGGATCTACCGGACAGCTAAACGTCAGGTCAGAGTTCAGGACAACTGTATGAGCACCAAAACCCCTCTCCGTGGGAAGTGACTACAGAACGATAAATACCTGCCCGTTGCCTGCTTTGTAACCGTGGCAACGGTCCTCCTACAGGCTGCTACCCTCAGCCTCATTTGGGTCATCAATGGTGCGTTTGATTTCTGGGGCCGGAGATGGAGACGATGTACAACGTACCGGTGTTTATCTTCTTCTGTTTTGTTTTCGTTCACGATGGCATTCGTCCATATTATTCTCACTTGTGCTGTCCCCTGTTGCCATAGCAACACCTGATGTCTTGCTGCATTTTTTTTGTCTCACGCTCAGGCAGGGAAGAGGAGGATGACGGGGGAGGAGTGTGTGGTTGGTTGAGGAGATGCAGGTCGTGGCTCGAGTTAGGCAACGGCAAGCTGCTTCTTATATTCCCAAAGTGTTGCAGAAACCAAAAGTGTCGCGTTGTGGTTTTTATTCTCATCCGCTGTCCGTCTGTCCACTTCCCCATCTTTCCTTCCTCTCGCTGACTACGTGCTTCAATCGGCTTCTTTGCGGGGAGGAGGGGGGGGGGGCTCGTTCGTTCAACAACAGATTGCACAATATGCAGTAGTCTGGGCAAACGCAGCTTCGTCTGTCCCTCGGTCGGTCCGTCTGTCTCTTTGTCCGTCTCAGGTTGCTTTTGTTGAGACTGACAAAAGGAGGGGGACGCATAATTCCCATGGTTCCTTCAACACCGAAACAGCCCAAAGGCTTTGGTGGTCTGATGATGCATAACCTCATGTTGGGTGGGCACACGAGTACACCGATGCCTTTTGAGCGGGTACACTGTACACGTTTTCTACCTCACATGGGGTAAATAATAGAACCTCCTTATATTAAAGTCGTAAATGCTGGTGTGTTTTTGTCCCCGGCAGGTCTTTTTCACGCACGTATACACCGTTCAAGCTGTTGCGACGGGTTCGTTGTGTACGTCACAGCTGTTGATGTTTGTACCTCTAGACAGAAATTGCCTCCCCCAGGGTCTGAGGTTTGTGTCATTTTAATACCCACTTCCTCCAACAGCACTAACCCACCAATCACAACATCCGATCATTGACCTTCTCCCTCCCACGAGCTGCTTCAGACATACATTTCCTCCCATAAACTGTCCCAGGATCACAGGGGGACGCAGTAAACGCAGAGAGAGACGGCCTAGGAAGTTACACGGCCCAGTCCTTGTACCGTGCAGTGAACCCGAGCGGGTGCATTCTGCTTTTGGCTTCAGGTCCTAACTGCGACCACATACTGAGGGCACCTCCTCCTCTTGCTCCACTTGCATACATCGCTCCAATACAAGCAGCAGAAGTCACTGTGTGTGTGTGTGTGTGTGTGTGTGTGTGTGTGTGTGTGCGAGCGGCATCTGACGGGACAGCGGTTGTCAGCGCGGCGCCACGCAGGTTACGCTCATCGCCCGTGTAGAGACGTGGCCTGGAAAGACCCGGGATGTTGTTTTGGGCCGGGCCCCGCTTTGTTGATCGCATCCACCGGCCCGGTCACTCGACGTGAAACCTGAAGCCTCCGCGCGGTTTACTCGCCGGCAGCGCGGTTTGATGCCTGTTCGGCAAGCGAAACATCTGCTCGGGCTTTAAAGGTACCACGTGTCGTCGGTTTGGGCCGCAAGTGTACACGAGCGTGTCCCCGTTTGGTTAGTGTCTTTAGTGAGGTAGTTTATTGCTGCTCCGGTGATCCACGTAGCAATGCGTCAGCCAAAGTTCACCCAGACGGCTGTCACGCAAAACGGGGGCTGGCTTGGCTTCTTTTTCATTAAGGAATAGAAACTATTCAACGTATTTGTCGTAACACAAGCGCACACGCAGAAACCTTTTTTTTGGCGAGCATCACAAACGTGCTTTACATCGTTTCCAGCTGTTTCCTGCGTGTTTTTACGCAATTACATCCCAGTAGCCTCTGCTCAGTGGGCCTCGGCGTGGCGGCGGCGGCCCGCTTTCAACCTGTTGAGCAGTGTCTTTGCATGAGACGACCTGAGAACCTCCTTCCTGTGAGAAACGCTCCCTCAGGGGGACCAACTAGTTTAATTGGCCACCCGTGACCTGCTAAAGCTCATCGCCGTCTGCTGCCTCGTGGAGGGGATTGTTTAAATCACGACCCTGGGTTTAAATATGTTGAAATGCTCTTATAGCACGTGTGCTTGTGTTGATCACGCTGGTGATTTACAGCAGTAATCGGCGACGTAGTTGAAGAGCAATCACTCAGAATGACCTGGCGGATTTTGACCTCTTTTGTCCGCACAATTTCTAAACGTTAGTACTAATTGTGGAAAGAGAGTTTGGCTCGTGTTAAAAAAATGCGTTATTTTTATAGCTCATACATATTATATGAACCTTGAGATCCGTAAAACCTATTAAGTGAATTGTTGTTGTACTGTCGAGTTCCTTTTGTTTTTTTATTGGGGCTTCTTGGCGCTATGAATTGGTGTTGATCACATGGGAACCGGCAGCGATGAGTCACAGTGGATGTTTCCAGAGTTACTAAACAGGACTGTTTTAGTTGTGACGGTAAATATCATAACTAGCATACAAATGACCAAATATAGTTTACAGCCAGTATAAATATGTAGTAGAATAATAATGAAACTTACTAAACTTCAGCCAAAAGTAGATTTCCGATATCGGTGGATTTTGGAAACTCATCAAGTCCCCCAGATAGTTATTTGTTTGTTAGTTTCTGCTTTTGAGCCTTTTTATTAGTGTTACATCAAAACTAAATTGAGGGTGTGAATCAGATTTAAATATTTAAAATATATAGAGGCTTTCACTAAACTCAAACGTTGTAAATGTACATAAAAAACATTTATTTTTTTAAAGAAGGTGCAGAATTGGTTAAAGATTTGGGGTTTTCTCATGACGGCGGCCGTCGTTTAGCATCTGGGTCCGAAGTGAAGCGCTGAAAACTGACTCGGTCCACTCGGCGCTGATGGTGGAGACACGTCCAGGTCAGAAATAGAATCAATAGCGGCAGTAACTCGATGAGGAGACTGTTGGGACTTGTATAAATAAAAAAAAATATTAAAAAAAAACATTTTTTAAACATTTACGCTGTGAAAATATTATCAATAGAATTCCAGCGTTACTCCAAAAGCTGCCCTCCGCTTAAGCCTTTTTCTCCTGGAGGGGGTGTTGGGGGGGGGGGGTGTAGGAGTCGGGGCGGCCCAGCAGACCCCCCCCCCCCCCCCCCCTCTCCGAGAGATATTGAGCCCGCTGTCAGAGAAGCAGGTAAAGGGTGTGACGCGGAGGTCAGCGAGCGGTTTACACACATGTGGCTTTACTTTCACAGCCGCTTTCCCCCCTTTTTCTCCCTCTCTCCTTCATCTGCTCCATGTTTCTCTTCTCGCCTTATCTCCTTCTGTCCTAACCCCCCCCCCCCCTTTACCCCGCAGGTCCCCTTTTCTTTTGTCAACATAAAGGTTAAATTGTCCCTAAAGCTAAAATGATTATAACTTATTTTTATAGCATGTCATTGGGGTCCGATGGTCGGTGGGTCACATGCGCTGACGAGGCAGCACACAAAGGCCGGTGATCGGAAAGACGACCGAAAGAATGTCGAATGTTTGTTGCGGAAGAATGCAGCGGGGTGGAATATGGAGACTGGACACCGAACCTATTTCTGGAAGTCGATTAATTATTTTCTTCTCGTCCTCGCCAAAACAAACCAACCCCCGAGGATGGATGGAGCCCTCTTTTGGCAGGATTGACTGTTGGAAATGTTGTTGTTACAAAAACCGACAGGTCCAATTTGGAAAACGGCTTTACAGTGCCAAAGAGGACAAAAAAGTGAATGGAAGCATTTGTAAAAGTAGCCCTAATCTGTATTTTTAACAACACAAGACGAGATTAGCATCCTTTATGATAATACTATTATTTTTCAAATCTGCATGTAACACAAAGTGCATAATTGTACAGTTGAGAAATATTGTTTAACCATCTTGTTTCAGCTTTTGCACGCTAGCAGCTTTTTATGAGCAGTAAATTCAGCACTAGCTGAAAAAACCTTGTAAGTTCAATTCAACGCAGCTAACCGTGTAGTTAAATATATTTCACGGACTTCTACAAAGGCTGTTAAACTTCTGTTTTACCAAGAACATGCGATGAATCTGGCAGGTAAGAAATCAATATTGGTTTCAGACTCCATGGTTGTATTTGAGGAGCGCTTCAGACCCAGCAGACACATTTTCTTTAGTTGTGTTTAAGTCCGGATTTCATTAGCTGTTCGTTTTTTGTCTCGACTGTTTCGGAGAGCGCAGAAGTTCCACAAGGCTTCTTCCTTCAGGGAACCCCGGACTGTATGAGCGCTCCCTTCATCTGCTCTCCACATTCCACTAAAAAAAGGCTCACAGGCCATCCTACTTCTAGTCTTCATCTCCTGTTTTCACCACTGGGATTTGTTCTGTGTGTGTGTGTGTGTGTGTGTTTGTGTGTGTTCTGTAAAGCTAGATTGCTCCGGCCTTGAAAAATGTTTGTATCCACGTCAAGCGAAGGCCTGGAAACGTTGTGATGTCTCTAAACCTTTGAGCTGCATGAAGGTTTTAAAAAGCGGCGAGCAGCTTTATGTCACATTTACACACGTATAAACAGTGTATACTTCTATGCATACTGGAAGTTTACTGACCCTTCCCCCCCCCCCGTCGGCGTTGACCAGGAAAGCACCCTTGTCAAGCCGCGGTCTTATGGTCGGATGTTTGCCTAAAAGCACCGTGTGCGTCTCTCTTTTTCTCCATCAGCACTTTCAGACCATGCTGAAGACCAAGCTCAACGTGCTGACGCTGAGGAAGGAGCCGCTGCCCACGGTGATCTTCCACGAGCCCGAGGCCATCGAGCTCTGCTCCACCACGCCGCTCGCAAAGGGCCGGACCCATGCTGGATACAAGGTGGGGTCACATGAGTCCGATAATCCCCCAAATCCAGTAAATCCACAATAGCGTTGAAGGAGCCATAACACTGTTGTTCATTTTCTTTTTGCACACACACACACACACACACACACACACACACGTGTGCTTAAATCATCAACACACACCAGTGGTTTTGTTTTTGTGTGTTTGAATGACATCCTTTGTTAATTAAGACAAAAGGGGTGTGTGTGTGTGTGTGTGTGTGTGCATGCGCTCTGGCACGGGGGCCTTAGCCCCGCCCCCTTCCCGGCTCTGCTAAGTGGCCCAATGAGGTGTTCTGTTCTCCGAGGTCGAAACAGAAAACAAACAGGGCTGCGGATAAAAACACCAGCCAGGCTCCGCTGTTACACACGACACCCACCATCAAAAGTGAGTGATTTGCGCCTTCGTGGCTGCTGCACAGCGCCGCACGCGGGACAAACCCACTCGGGGCCGACTCCCAAGTGACCGTGTGCGTGTGTCTTTTTTTCTCTTCTGGAGGTTGAGCGTTGCTCTTGGTCGCTCAGCATCCGCTCCCCGCCAACGAGCACGTCGGAGGAGGAGCGGATGCCGAGTCATCGTCTTCCCAGAAGTTGAGACGCGTGAACATGAAGTGAAAGTCGGGCGCGGCGACCGTGCCGGCCGAGCGAGGAAGAAGTAGCATTTTTCAAAAATGGGAACTATTCCCGAAATGAATGAAAATGAATGCAGCGCGCAGTTTATATCCTCACGTGGGGAGAACTCCCCCGATGCAAACAAGCCACAAAGCGTTGCACCTGCTCTTCCAGCTCCTCCTCATGTCTGCGCCAGACGTTGTTCAGGAATCTCCATTTTCACCGCATCGCCCAACTTAAACCATGCAAACGAACCAGTGTGAGACCTCGTTCTCCTCTGGACTCGGCCTGCCCCGCTCTCCTTTCTGGACTCGCCGCTCTTCCCAGCATTTTCCGAGAATGTCAAAGCCGTGTTGCCATGGATACCACTACAGCTGTTCAGCAGAATGCCAGCCTCACGAAAAGAAAAAAAAAATCCATTTCCTTCGTCTGTCTGCGGCCTCCCGAAAAACGCGAGTCTGTCTGCCTCGCCGCCCGCATCTGTTGGCTTGTGTAACTTCCTGTCTGAGTCACTACCTGCCCGTCTGCATAACTGACTGCCCACCTGTTGCAAACGTTTAGATGGCACAAGTCTTTTTAAAGTGGAAGCACAATACGGCGTGAGCAAACTGCGCTCGTTGCAGCCGTAAACACTGTAAAGATGAAATGCAAAGAAACCAGATTTTAAAACGATAAAAGCGCCGTTGCTTTTGCGCTATTTCTTAATTGATTAAAGCGGTGAGAAAACCGAAGCTCTGCTCTTTTTTGCACTCCTTCCCGCTCCCCTATGTGCTGCAGTACGTAATGCCAGCAGTCACTATGCTCATGCAATTGTTTTCACCGTCCCCTCTGCTTCACGCCAGCCCCCCCCACACCATCACTCTTGCCTCTCCCAGCCCCCCCAGTCGTGACCCCGCGTTTACAGGAAGGCCGAAAGGCTGGCTGAGGCCGGGCTGTCCCTCTGCCAAAGCTAACAGCTAGCAGGGATGAAAGGCCACCTCTCATTGCCCCGGCCGGCCCGCTGCTGTCGGTCCACTTCACATCCCTTTGAGGAAAAGTCCTGCATGCACAGCGCTGCCAGCTCCACGGTCATACTTCACGGGCCATGATGAAATCGCATTGGAGTCAAAACACAAACTGGCTCGGGATTTTTTTTTTTTTTTTTGTCTCTAGTATCAGTTTCCCTAAACTGCTCCCACGTCGATTTAAAGTAATAATTTTTAGCGATGGTGTGAGATTCTGACGTCTTTCACAGCACCAGGTCTTGAGCTAACCCCCCCCACCCCTTGGGCAGAGGGGCTTCTTGTCTCCCTGTACTTGGTAATCCGATGTCAGTCAGTGAGCTGGACGTACCGTTGTCTCCAGAGAACAGAGGACAGAACATACAGTGAAGACATTCAGATGATAAGCAGCAGGGTGAGCTGACCGGTACTCCCGGTTCTCTTATGAATGCGTTTTTGTCTCATTAGGGGCCTTTTTGTATGAGTGAGTTTCCCTTTTGATGTGCGTATGTGTGTTTTGTTTCAAGGCCTTCTACGGCGTACGTCGCGTTTTATGAAGCCTGAAGGATATGAGATAACGTAATAATCAAATGTCAAGTGATTATAGTATTTCTTTTAATGAGAACTAGATGTGCTGCTGGAGCACAGTCTGGATCCAGGTTCAGGTCAGCTAGTGTGTCGTCCCTGTTGGTTCTGTTACCCGTCTGTGGAGGAGCCAGACTGGGCAGCAGTTCAGGGCTTCCCTCAGATCCAAATCACTGACCCAGGCACAGCGAGACGTGACGCTGTCTCTGGTTTGGCCTTCAGCGCTTCACTGTTGTCTCCCTGGTGAGAATCGGCTATTTCGACATGTGTCTTCTATTTCTTTCTGATATGCAGTTTACAATCCGCCAGCTCCTCTAAAATGTTCTGTGTTTGCACTGGTGTGCCTAGAATCCCGATGGCCTGCGGACGTCTCTGGTTGGAGTTCGCATGTGGGCTCTGCCTCCTACTACGTCTGTGCAGTGTTGCACAAAACTTTCTCTGTGCAGAAAATCTGGACTAGATGAACCGCACACAACTTGCTCTGTAGGCGGATCCCGATGGGCCTGGTGCAGCTCCACTGGACGCCAGTTAGTTTTCACTTACTTTGACCAAAAATAGGTCTTTAATTCCCCCTTTTTTGCATTTGCATTGCAAATCTGTGTGCTTAGACACATTTTATTGCCATCATTGGAGTATAACTTAACCATACGTATGGAAGGGGTCTGGAATGTCAAAGCGTCTTTCATATACACTGAGGCACTTCTGTCTTGACTTACAGTGAAACACTCAGTCTCTGTTTTTGTAATCTCCCACACACACACACACACACACACACACAGCATCGTCATCTCACCGCGCAACACAAACAGCACTTGAAAAAAGGAGAAAAAAATCCATCTTTGCATGCCGTGGCAAGCGAAGCCAGCTGCACGGTGCTGATTCAATACGTTCGGAGGAATGTTAACAACCTCTTCAGGAATGCTGTATTCCCGAGCAGCGCCTTCTCAGTTATGTTGGGGGGGACCCGGACGCGGGGGGGGGGGTCTCCTGAGGGAGAACACCAGGACGACCTCCACCTCTGGCGGTGGGAGTTGTTTTTCGTCGACGGAACCCGCTGGATCACTTTTGATGTCGGATGCGTCGAGGTCATGCTCCTCTGATACGATGCACTCAGTGACGTTCAGCATCTTACAGAATCCAATTACGTGTCCGTTTTGAAGCGCGTGCACATTTTTTGATTTTGTATACAGGGGTCTTATTGTATTCCTGCACACTGAAAGTTAGGTTACAGCCAGCCAACCCGAGCTGAGGGCTAAAGCTTCACATTTACTGTACCCACATGAGAGTGGTATCAATCTTATTATCTCGGCAAGAATGTGAATAAGCGGCTTTTCTAATCCGCACAACAATTGCTTTGGAAAATCGGCTTGTACGCCTTGTGACTGCGTGAATGTGCTTAAACGTTGATCCGAATAAACCTGCCGTAAGGTTGCTGTTGTTTTCGTTCTTTCCTGAATTATCCAAAAGGTTGACGTTTTTGGGAGTTGCAAGCGTACCTTTGGACAATGATAATAGCAGGTATTTTTCCTACTTTTGGCAAACGACACCAGACCACCACTGCCAGATAAAAGTCCCATATTCTATCCAAATAGTCTTTCATTTAGTCATGAACCAAAAAACACCCGTATTTTCCCCACTGACATCTCATCTCTCAACAAACTCTTACTGTTTGGAACAAAGTGCATCTGTGAGGGGGCAAATAGGAAAACAGACACAGATTGAGAGATAGGCTTGTTTGTTTTGTCTGCACCCCCAGTGGGTCCTTGAACCGGGACGTCTGGGAAAGTGCCTGATGCCGAAACAAGCAGTTCTAGAAATCTAGCTAGTGCTTTTTAGTTTTTTTGTTTTTTTTCTACCTTCACATCACAGTCTGTTCCCAGATCTGATCCAACAGGAGCAAACCGCTCTCCTCAACAAGTGCCTCCTTGTTCCTCTCTCAGTGCCTCTTCCTGTCATCTCGGCCCCTTTCTTCCCTTCTTCCTCCGTGTTCCCAAAGCCTCTCCGTAGGGTCAGGTATCTCCTCATAGATTCCTCTCTCCTCCTCTTTTTCTCTCCATCCCCTCCCTTTCTCCGCTGATAGCCCAACCAGCTGTGGCTCCAGCAGCGCAGCTGCCCGGACGCTGCGCCGCTCGCACACGCGTGTGCGCGCGCTCACGCACACACGCGGCCTCCAGCGACACAGACATCCGCATAGACGGATGTTTTCTCTGACTCCCTCTGTGTGTCCCTCACTTTCTTCTCTCCTCCTTTTTTTTTGCATTTTACTGCTTTTGTATCTACTTTGCCGTCAGTCTGCCTATAACAACAACAACAACAACAACTCTCTGCGGCGTTGCTGGGTTTGCATCCTGTAACTCATCAAAAAAAATGGTAAACATTCAAATCTGTTTGCCTCATTTAGCATCAAACACAGAAAAAAATGTGTTCCTGGCATGTGCTTAAACGCGCTGGTGGCAGAGGGGCCGTGCTGGCAGGGATGTGCTACCGTATATGTTTTTAATGGGTAACAGTTGCATTTCTTTGCACGGCAGAGAGAACTCTGCACAGACCGAACATATTTGCACAACCTCTTGGTTTTTATACACGTGTCTTATACAGATGACAAACTTTTTTTTTTTCTTGTCTCCTGTAAACCCCCGAGCAACTCGACCACAAAGGGGGTTTCTGACATTTTAAAAGACCTGTAAAGATAAAAAGACCCACACGTTTGTTGAACAATGTCTCGCATATGCAAGAGGTGTCCGATGTGTGGTGACCGAAGTAGCAGCGCTGCCGCCAGTGCGCTAATCTGTTAGCATGTTCACATTATACAGTAAACCACACAGCCCTTTGCTGATGTTCAAGGGCGTAACCATGGTTTAGACATTGGGGGGGGGGGGGGGGTCCAAACGAATACCATTCCCCATATTACTTTTTTTTGTTAAGTGCGTGGCCTACAATTCTATATTTATATATAAAAATGCACACATTTAAAACATAGATTTGAGGACTAGATTGACCATTTAAATTCACATCTAAAAGGAAAAGTGTCATTTCTCTGTGACAGTGGCTGAGTTGCTTCCTACTTTCTGACCTTAAACACACCTACCAATTACAAAACTGCGACTCGTGCTTTTATGAGGCTACTCGTTTTATTTGCCTACACATTTAGCTCGGGATCAAGGTACTTACTGTCTGGGAAAAATGCTCCGCTTCTGGCACAGTTTCGTCGGCTTTTAAGGTGGACTAAAAGTCCTCCAATACTCTACCCTAAGGGTCAAACTCATTTCAGGTTCGCGCCAGACACGGCCCACCTCGACCATTAAGTGATAGGGAAGGGTGGCGCTGACGATCCGACCGGCCGGCGGTACGGTCGATATATGTACATAGATATATCTTACATATTTTCTGCTGTATGTTGGGGGGGACACGACCCCCCCAAAGAATGCGTGGTTACGCCTACGCTGATGTTTAAGAGGATTCTTTTTACGTTACTCTTTTGCTGGATACAATCATGTGGGGATCTTTAGAGATGTTGGTAGGCGGGAGTTGTGAACCAGGCTCGCTGTGTCCCTTGTTTTCACTTTCATTTAGCCAGCAAGCGCAGCGACGTACGTGGCGCCTGCAGACACATTTCAGCGGTTTCAATCTCCTCGTCTGACCCTCAGCAAGGAGGCAAATAAACTCCCCCCCCGAAATTCTGTCTTTCCGCAGTTACCACGGCTACCAAGAACTAGTCTATCAAGGACTTCAGCTTGCAGGTCGTAGAGTTCCCCTTCACAGAAGAGAGAATAGAATAGGAATATGTTACATAAACAGACTCGGTAATGGTGGCCACATGTCTCGCCACACGTGCAAATGTTTAACCAAGCTCCTCTCTCTCTCTCGCTCTCTCATTCACAAACACTTGCATTCCATTTCTTTGTTTTTGTCCATTTCCTACAAAGCAGGTACACACACACACTGTTTATTGTCTCGGCACTAATCCGGTGGATCGTTTCAATTTCAGCTTCCCTGCTGCCTCGCTGTTTTTCTGTCGGCTTTCCTCCATTTCCCTCCGTTCCCTCCCGGCGGCCCCCAACAGGCCGTCATTCCTGTAAATGATCCTGACTTCTGTCAGAGTACTGCTTCATGTGGAACTAATATCTTCTGTTGGTCGGTATAAAAACTGCGATGCAAAACGTTCGGCCGCAGGAAGGGACGTGAGCAATGCGGAGAGGTGATAGGTGATGGGTGGGTGGGGGGGAGGGGGCAGAAGTCCGTTCAAGAGAGCGAAGACAATCAGAAATTCAGAGATGGGGGAGCAAGAAGAGGCACACAGTGAGAGTTGAAACAAAATGGGGAGGGACGGTGTAGATGTCTGGAGTGATTTTGTGTCTTGTCAGCGGGCCACCAGAGTAGAGAACAATGGACGCGCTCCGGCTCTGTGGGACGGAGGGAGAGAGTGTTTTTCCTCCGCCTTCCTCCCCCACCTGTGCAATGAACCCGCATCCCCTGTACTTTAAAAATAAATTCTGTCACATTGAGCCAATAGCCTTCAAATAGTATTTCCCCAAAAGGGTCCCTTAGGTTTTACTTCATGACAATATAATCACTTCTTACGATGTTAGTGGAGGCTTGTTGACTGACTTCCTTTAGAAATGGACAGGAACACTCGTGTGTATTTGTAAGGTGACCGACCGACGTCAAGTGGGAAGTGATTTTGTAACCTAATTAACTTTTGGTCGATGGGAATGCACAAACATCAGACAGGCTGTCTGATGTTTGTGCATTCCCATTCAACAAAAACCCTCCATGAGAGGTTCTCGGGTCAGCTGGTCTCTCATCATTCCTCAGCGTATGCATGTGTGTATTTCAATGGCACCTGTGTGGTTTTACAGCACTTTCCCTATTGTCGTGCATTATTCTAGCACTGGTACTTCTGCATGACGGTTTCAGTGTTTCACATGGGCTGTTGGACTGACAGCACGACACCACGTTAAAAACACTCATACGATCACGAGTCACCGCTGTTATTTGCAACCAAGTATAATTTGCACATGAAAAACATGAATACATATTTCTGAGATTAATTTTGCGCTGCACTGTGTCTATCTGACGCCATTAATCAGCACCCAAGACAAATAAACTCCACATTTAGTGCGTCCGTGCTCATAAATGCTAAACATTCAGCTGTCCTTATAGAGATGCTATGTTCCCTGGAGAGGCCTCCGCTTACGCCACCGGGTGTAAATGGGCTCAGTGTCCGAGCCCTGAAGGGAAAACGCCAGTACTGTGGAAATGTCTCGTTCAAATACGTCAAACCAAAAGCCGCCATCAAGTCCAGAGATTTTAGTGGTGCGTCTTGTTTTCTTCCTCGATGCCTTATGAGCACTTCTTTATTTGTATTTCTATCTGTCCTTCACGTCTCTACTGAGGCAATGTTACAATTTCCTCTTCAGCTGAATGTTTCCACTTGTGGGAAACAAACTCTAAATGTTTGCTTAGTCTGGTGTCCATTTTTTATTTTTTCTTCTATTTAAGCCTAATCGGTTAAAACTGTCCAAATGTGCCAAATCTGTGTGTATTATTGTGTTCCTGATCTAAGACATCGTTTTTTGGACTCAACCACAACCACCATCTTCCTTTCTGGACCTCTCAACTAGGCTGGTCTTAATTTTCACTTTACTTCATATATTCCGTATAGTTTATTTTAACCCGGCACAATAACTAGATCTAGAGAGAAAACAAGAACTGCCTTTTTGTGTTTTGGCTCATTCCCAGCTGCTGTAAGAGAATAAAACCTGGCAACGCGTCACGTCAGCCGCCATCCAACTAGGAAGCGAGCAATCAGTGGAAAGGACGGCAGCTCGAACGTGCAACCCGATATCAAAATAGAAGGGACAGAAAAAAGAAGTGCACAATGATTCTTTATTGCTGTTCGACGCGCAGACTGCGGACGGCCGATTTATCTTGGCGTGGCCTCTGGATTTGTTGGCTTGCTGAGTGACCGACCGCCTTCTGGCTGCGAGACTGTGTCGCCGCGGTCGACCAGCAAACCACCCGCCGCTCCTGCAGACCTGTGGCACTCTGCCGAATGATGGGTAGGCCGCAAAGGCCGTCCCACCCCCCGCGTTTACCTCTAGTCGCCGCTGCTTTCACCCCCTGGATCTCTGATTTGTGGCTTATTAGAAACTCCACGCCATGTTGTCTTGCTGTATTCAGGTTTTTACCAGGACCTGCATAGCTGCAGCTCTTTATGCATTCTTTATACATTTGGATCAACTTAGCATTGACTGAGCCCCTCAACCGACTTTCAGATAGAAAGTCAATTGTCAAAGTTGAATTAAAAGTTGACTAAACAACAGTTGTGAAAGAAGAGGCTGTCGTGTGACCACTTGTGGCTTAAAACGGCACCAGATTTATATAATGTTCTGATGCTTTATGGTCGTCATGCCTTCGTATCTGTGGACTGACTCGAAATTAAAATATGTACATTGAGAAGTGAATAAAGAGGGTCTCATCTTCCATAAATGTTCCAAACTGTGATACGTCTTTGTAATCGCGCTCATCGTTGCACTCGTGTTATCAGCCGCCACGTGCGCTGTAATGAACTCCCGATGAACACAGACGGAGGGGAGTGTTTGACTCGTAGGTGGCTCTGCCTCTGTATTTTTATAAAGCTACTGAGAACGCCATGCAGACAACACGCGCACAAGTCGGCCATTACTGCCCGAGCGCTCGCAGTTTGGCCACGTTCCCATATGAAACACTTCACTTCTTAACCCTCCTCCTCCTCCTCTCCATCTCCTCGGCCTACCGTTCCCCTGGTGTTTAGCGTCGGTATCGTGTTTTCTCGTCCAACAATAGCAAAGGCACATCTTTCTAAATGTCAGCACCACAGTTACCACAGACAACTAACACAGAGAAAAGCCTGTTATCATCATCTCAGAGAGAAAGTTATTTTCTTTTTAAAAACAATGTTCATTGAGTCTTTCTCCTGTCACATAAAATATGTGACATTGTCATATAAAACCACAATGTCCTACTCTATGCAGACGACTTGTCTGTTCCAACGAGTCCTCTTCATGTCTTTAATGACGTGGTCAGAGCATTGTTCTCAATGATTGGCACCCCCCACATATAAATCCCTTTAGATGAATGGGCTCTGCTGTTTATTAATAGTCCTCGGCTAGTGACAGAAGGTGCCCTGTCTTTTGTCATTTAAGTCCCCGGACTTAATACTTTCCCCCTTGAGATTAGACCGGCTACATCTTTGGCATTTTTAAAATTTGTTTTGTTTCTTTTCTATTATCGAGAGTTTACTATTGTCCCTGTCTTCTCCTTTCGACCTTGTCAAGAATGGTGCTTTATATATGCTCCTCATAAACGGACTCTCTCAGTATAACAAGGAGCGGCCGCATTTTTTATGTATTTCTACGGTAGTTTTGATTGATTTTATTCCTTGGCAGCCGACTTCTGTGCATGTGGTGGAAAAACTCCATGCTTGTGTTTGTGGGAAAGGACACGTCTGATGGTGTCCATGTGTGTTTGTGTCTCCCCGCAGGTGTCCTACCTGGGCAAAGTGAGAATCTCCGGCACCCAGTTTCTGTCAGGCTGCACCGAGTCGGCGGTGGTGGGTCTGGTGGACGGCCGCGCCCTTGCCCAGCAGCGGGGCACCTACCCCGAAGGAAACTCCCTGCTGGAGATCCGTCCCTTCCAGGTGCGTCTTCACCACCTGGACGGGCACGGCGAGGCCTCGGTAACCATGGACACCTACCAGGTGGCGCGGATCGCCTACTGCACGGCCGACCACAGCGCGAGACCCAACGTGTTCGCCTGGATCTACCGGGAGATCAACGACGACCTGTCCTTCCAGATGGACTGCCACGCCGTCGAGTGCGAGAGCAAGCTGGAGGCCAAGAAGCTGGCGCACTCGATGATGGAGGCCTTCCGCAAGACTTTCCACAGCATGCGGAGCGACGGCCGCATCCACAAGAGCGGCTCGTCGGACGACTTTGCAGAGGACTCGTCCACCCCTGAAGACACGACCCCGGACGACGGTTGAGCTGAAAGTCGCCTAAGCCCCCGACGCCTGTCCCGACTGGGCGAGGGGTTACTGGAAGGATGGACAGATTAACCTGCTCGCTCTCTCTCTCTTGCTCTCTCTCTCTCTTCTCCCCTACGATCTCTCTGGTACAATTGGAACAGATGACTGACCATGGTATGTGGTGACCTCACCAGTATACACAAAGTAGTTTTTAAATACTGTAATGGGAAAGTACGTTTAAAAAAAGGAGTTACAAAAGACCTACATTTACATACAGGGATATCAAAGTGCTGCCACTTTAAACGAAAGGTCCTCAAAGGCCCACAGGAAGCTTTCAAGCACCGCTGTAACCGCCCTCAAGAGATCGACTCGACATTTCCATCTTCACCTTCAGCCACTGTGTCACTCCTGCTCCCAGCAGAGACTCTGTTTGTGGCTCTGAAGCTTTTCACCCAGCAAACAAACGGGGTTCGGCCCCCGTTCTTCTGAACCCAAGCTCAACGAAAACCCGTCGCTACTCTTGCCATGGACGGGACACCGGCACGAAGAGGCCTGTGACTTATTTTTGGGTTCCCAACCCCAGAGTTAATGAGACTGTTGGAGCACATAAATTCTTTTTAGATGTTTAACCATGTGGATCTCTGTTACAATGCCTTCGACCTTGGTAATGGGCAAATGAGGATGTGAAAGAAAAGCTAAGCCTTTAAGCACTATTCATATCATCACTATGGTACCTTAGTCCGACCCTGAAATTACTTGCCGGCATAGCTGTTACGCGCGCAGACAACGGAGCCGGAGCTTCTAGCGCCGCCTCCGTTTAACGGCTTCTTAAACGTTCAGAATAATCGCACGGCGCCTCTGGAGAATGTAGGTGCTACGTAGATGTTCCATTTTAGAAGTTCTCACCGGGCTGAAAGCCTGAGGCCCTGACTGCGACACCTTAATCATCCACTTGTGTTTTGAATATACCAAAATTCAGGCTGCATTTTGCCTGTCAGATTATGTGCCTCACTTTCCTCTCACATTAGTTTGGTCTCTTACCCGGGTCCCTGTGTGTATGTGTGGCTCTATGCGCGGGCCAACCCTTTTTCCTAATGTGTGTGTGTGTGTGTGTGTGTGTATAATTGCTTACTTGTGTACTTTGTGTATTTGATTGTACACATGAGTGCTGTTGGAGGTGAGACATCTCTGTTTGTGTGAAAGAGAACAAGGTAAGGGAGTAGGAAGATTAGGGGGGGATTAGCTGGGGTTTTTCTCATTGCCCCGGAAGCATCCATTTTTGATGCTTAAGGGGGGCGTTTTATCATCAGGACGCGGTACTCTGACCATTTGCCACGTTTTCTCGCAAAACGGGAGACACATAGAGTCTGGACGTGTCAGTCACTGAGGATGTAGGACGCCTAAAACACCCCCGTCCGAGTTAACGGCCGACACCCCCTGGGCCTCTGCTGAATGTATGCCGGGTCCAACGTGTCTGTGAACGCCTCGCCCCGTCCACGGCGGGTGACCGATTCCCCTCCTGCAACATCGAGGCACCGCCGCGGGGCCAAATCTCATCAGAGCGCCACTCTTCTTCTTCTTCTTCTTTTTCTTCTTCTCCTCTTTTTTTTTTTTTTTTTTTTTAACTGGACTGCATTGAACAGGCTGGAAAAGGTCCTCGGCCAGTAACCTAAAAAGAACGATCGGGGTGGCTCTGGTCGGCACACACTCAAATATATATATACACCAACATAGAATTATACATCATGTACACACACATTGTATTTGAGTATTGCTCAATAAGCTTATGTAAATACAAATGTATCACTCTCCAAATATTACAGCATACATGTTGATAGATATTTTAAATGAGAAACCATCGTACGATACAGAAACAATGTTATGAAGCCTACTGTGAATAATAATTGGAGAGCCTGATAGCGGTGGCTGTGTGTGTGTGTGTGTGTGTGTGTGTGCGCAGGTGTGATTGTATGTGTTGGGACGAGTGCTGAGGAGGGGTGGACGTGTCGGGGGGGGGTGAGTGTTCATAAAGCTGTAGATTACTGTGTCATGTCTGTCTGAAAGCTCAGACGCGCTTTAAATGTTTGAAAAGTGTTACCTTAAGTGTTTTCTATACAGTGTTTGCAAAGATCAAGAAACAATTGCATATAAAGTATTTACCAAGACCAAGCGCTCGATGGTGTGGTCTGTTTCCTCTCTCATACCCACATCTAATGTCTCCGTCTTCGCTGTCGCCAGATCCCGGCTAAAAAAAAAAAAAAAAAAAGAAGACTTTTATTCTTCTTTTAAGACCTGCGTGAGTTGAACTCTGGCGTTCCTGCTGCGGCTGCATGCATGTGGGAGGATAAATACAAAGCACGTTCAGTCGCAGTGCAAACCGAGCGAGTAAGCAGATGATGTTCCTCCAGGGTGCCAGGACATATGTAAAGCATAACCACGCGGTCCTCCACACACACACACACGTTGCAACATACTGAGACTTTTAGGAAATGATTTAAGGTATACAACTGTTTTGATGTGCTTAACAAATGTTCTAACACAAAAGCTTTTCATGTTCTCTTTTCAGAGGATGGTGAACGGCAAAGTGCCCGACGGGGGCACAAATATTGTGAGCATCCTCTCCCTCCTACTACTATCACTCCTCCACTGCGTGTGGGCGCAATTTCCCTGAGCAAACCCCTAAACTGGAGTTTATGGTGTTTCCACGCTCATTTCGAGGTTTATGTGTGACACTGTCTCCGTGCGTCCTCTGAGGGAGGTCTTCGCTCTCCCGTTCTTCACATTCCTCTGTTTTCTCAGATCTCTCTTTTATTGCCTTGTTGTGCTCCGGCCCGTCGTCTGCCAGGATCTCTTGTCTCTTCAAAGTGCCCACATCAATAACAAGATAACTAGCTGCTCTCTGCTCGTGGGGCTGGCGATCATTTTGCAGCTTAAGAGCTGCAGAGGATTGGAGGCAAAATGGATGCTGTGAAGAATGTTAATGTGTGTTGAATGAGAACACTGCCTCCCTCTGGCAAGAAGAGCTACAGCCTCCCCCCCTTCCCCCCAAAGAGGCCTTTTCATGTTGTCATAAACAGTCTAACTCCTCACGATAAGAATCGTTACTTTAGAAACGCCAGGAGGGAAGCAGATTGTTTTTGCTGCTGTCACTGGCTTGTTTGGGTTTAAATGGAAAACGTAACTGAAGGTGATGCAACCACATGGACATTTGATGAGCGGCAGGCAGACATTTACTCGTGTCTTTACCAGTTGTTTTCATTAAACGTTGATCGTCCACAGCCATCTGGCACAATGTCATCTGTTGTGTAACAACATGTCAACACGGCCCTCCGTCCCCGTCTCTCACAGCTAGCTTTTAATGCCTCTTTGTCTCGCGTCTCTCCGCTGTGCTCTTGTGTCTGACCCACTTCCACGAGTAGAGGGGCCCTGTGGGGCCCACAAAGAGCCCCCCCCCCCGCCGTTCCTCCATCAGCCGGCGTCGGGTCGGTGTCACTCGGCTCACAATACAAACTCAAGCCCACACGCTTGTCCGGTCCGGCCCGGGTCGAGGAGCCGGCGTCTGATCAGATCCTTCTGCCCGAGCTGGTGGGCCCCGGGCCCCTCGGAGCGAACACGGCCAACATGTGTGGGTGTGTAGCAGATGCGTGAAATGGACCAGGACCTGTGCACATTCCTTCCACTTCTGTCTCGACTGAAATGGCACATTTTACACTTGCGGTTGCTCAACGTGGTGAAATAATACTTGTTTTAGGCATTCAAGGAGTAGCATGTTGTAACCGTAACTATTCAGCAGAAGCCAGACGGACACAGTTGTGGTCTAAAATAAGATGCAAGTATGTGCCAAGCGTGCGGTGATTGTAATGACCATTGCTAACTCTGTACTGCAGGACACAAAGTACTCTTGTTCGGTCTTCACTCCTTTTGAGTTTCAGTTGGTTTGGTCTGTTCACTTTGCGTTTTTGTTGAAAACCTTTTTCTATTAACGTGCGAGAAAGGCCAAATTTAGAAATGATATGGATCAGGAAACATTTATTGCCATAATATGTCAGACATACAAGGAATTTGACTTTGGTTGGTGCATGACAGCAGACTGGACGACAAGACAGCAGTGCAAGAGGGATAGAATATAATGCTATGTGTTGGTTTAAAAATAAAGGAATAAAAGCTGAAAGTTAAAAATATTTTAAAATTAAAAATAAAGTGTACCGCCGAACAGAAAGGGACAACTGTTGGTGTGGCGGGAGGTCTTAGTCCTGATGGACCTCAGCCTCCTCCCAGATGGAAGGGGCACAAACAGTTTTTGTCCGGGGTGAGAGGGGTCGGCCGCGATCTTTTTAGCTCGCTTCAGAGACCTGGAAGCGAACAAGTCCTGCAGGGACGGCAGATTGCAGCCGATCACCCTCTCTGCAGAGCGGATGACACGCTGCAGCCTGCCCTTGTCCTTGGCTGTGGCTGCAGCGTACCAGACGGTGATGGAGGAGCAGAGGATGGACTCGATGATGGCCGTGTAGAAGTGGACCATCATCGTCTTTGGCAGGTTGAATTTCTTCAGCTGCCTCAGGAAGAACAACCTCTGCTGAGCCTTCTTGGTGATGGAGCTGATGTTCAGCTCCCACTTGAGGTCCTGGGTGATGATGGAGCCCAGGAAACGGAAGGAATCCACAATAGTGATGGGGGAGTCACACAGGGTGATGGGGGAGGGTGGGGCTCTGTTCCTTCGGAAATCCACAACCATCTCCACTGTCTTTAGAGCGTTGAGCTCCAGGTTGTTCTGGCTGCATCACGACACCAGATGGTCAGACTCCCACCTGTAGGCGGACTCGTCCCCACCAGAGATCAGTCCAATGAGGGTGGTGTCATCCGTGACCTGGAAATACATGTTACAAATAATTTTATAATACATTTCTTAGTTTTCTGAAAATAACGATATACTGTAGGTAGTTTGGAAAATATGGATTTCTTTGAAACATGCTTTTAAACCACAAAAATATTCATTTATTAATCAATCATTGTTTTACATAAATATGCTGAACAAAACTTCCCATTTGTATTTGTCTTTTTTTCCTGTGTAATTAGTTAAACATTACTGAAAACCTTGCAGAAAATTATTGGGTCATTATTAAGAAAACACAGACATGCAAAATAAAGAAAAATATAACTGTAAAGGGTGAAATGCAATTCATCTCCCAGACCCAAGAAAAAACGAAAAGAGGATATTGCAATATCTTTCCTCTGGTCATGTCCCTGATTTAAGATTCCTGTCAAATTGAAATGTGGACTGGAATGAGGAGAAAAAAGGAGGGCGGGGGGCTCAAAGGCGACTCCAGACTCTCAGTGAAGCCCAGAGGATTCAGTGCACGACACTACTGTAATATACTTACAGATGAGATACTGCCCTGAATCCCTGGGGGACGGGGGACGTCTGGCCCGAGATCCAAGATGAGCCGGTGTGTCAGGAAGGAGGGATGAAAGTCTGAGGAAACACTAAGCTCAAACAGAGCCTGGAGACCAAATGTCAACGGCTCTGCCTGTGAAGTCCTACCCGGCGCTGCACCGCCATCATTCAAAGTTTGCCGTTTGCACTCCTGTTCGCGAGTTTGATACACAAAAGACATTGCTTGAGAAGTAGAACATTCGACTGTACGCAATGAGCCACAATTGAGATCATCAGTTTCATCTATTAAAACTATATCCTCAAAATAACGAAATGCAGATATCAGATATGGAGCTGAATTAATGTTACAGTAAGCAGAAAATGTGAAAAAAACAACTCCAAAAATGCAAAATAAAGTAGTATCAGCGGGTGATCTTTGCTTCTAAATCTCAGAAAGAGAATAATCATTTTTCTATATACACTTTTTTGCAAATTACGTTGTGAGGGTAAATTGCACTATTTTGCTGTACTGAACTAATCAATTTAAATCAATGCATCCTGCTCTTGCTATACGAGTAGCAGACACCGTTAGCTGGAGCAGTGACAAAACACGGACGATAGAAGAGGGTAAGAAGAAAGGAATGCATGTGGGGCGGGTGAATAGGTGACTGCAGCAAAGACACGGCTCTGGCCAGACATCTTGCTCCCAGATGTTGAGGGAAGAGTTTAGTAATCCAGCTGTGTCGTATCCTGATGGCCGAGCCAAAATAACAGCTCAGAAAATAAACAACTGACCAAACTGTCTCATGGGTTTGGAGGGAGGTCACAGACATAAATAGATACATGCCTGAAAAGAAAGAGGGAAACGTCTTAAATAATCTGACAAAAACAGTTGAAGACTTGGCTGCCTGCAGCTGTGGTTCCTTGTTTGTCCACTTGGTGTCATCATGACTCAACCATTTCTTCGCATGGTGTCTAAAGCGGGATTGACCTCAATAAAACTGATGTAATGGAGGTGATTATAAACATTCTTTCCCCAGATACCAGCATTTTGCATTTCTGTATTAGTTGCTGAATTTATTGTAGTTGGCAACTGAACCTATAATATGAAGAACAATCTGTATTTATTTTGCTACCAGTGCAAAAAAGTGGGGAATTGGATGAAAACGCTGTGACCCCAAAAGGGGGGCATTTGAAAATGAAATTATTGAGATAAGACAAATATGATCTGTATGAGCAGAATCTCTTGGAAGTAATTGACACATGGCGGAGAGGTGCAAAGAGGATATTGCAGATCATCCGGTTTCTTCTCAGTCACCACAGGCATTCCTTATTGAAAATGTCATGACTTCTGGATGGGTGCCCTTTCGCATTTGCTTTCCTTCTCACATGTCAAAGCCTTTCAGAGGAACACAAAAGATGAGATCACTGAGCACTGGAACCGTTTTGGCAGATCACGAAACCCAAGATGATTCTGTTTTTCATTCCAGAAATTCAGAAGCCAGATCTGATTGGGACAATGTCGTAAGTGCCTATATACAAATACGCATTTCAGCTTGGAGGCCATGCTGACATCAGCACTGGGCTTAAGGAGGGATGAAACATCTCACTCCGTATCCGAGGTCGGGGGCTGCCTGTGCGGCTCAGCTGGTTTCATCCCGAGGCCCCAAAGCTCCACCGATCGTTGAGAAGATAAAGGAGAGAAGCACATCTTCTCAACACACAGCACCATGTTATCGTTTCAGAGGACTGTGTTTGCTTTTGTTAGTGTGTGTGTGTGTGGACAGAATTGAAA